AGCATATAAGAACTTAATTTGTTTAACACTCAAGTCGGCGCTAGGTACTTGGCTGCCATTCCATCAACTGCTTAATTTCTGGTTTATTTGTCAGTTATGTTTACTGCTAGTGAGCTATCAACAACCAGCCACCTACATAGGAATATACTGATTTGTACATATATTTATAATTTATAATGTCATCCATATATGTATATAATTTGTTTTTCATCTTTAGGTTAAATACTTGCTTAACTATAGCACATATATGACTAAGAATTTTTATTTTTTACTCATATAATAGTTTGTCTATAAAAGATGTAAAAGTGTTTTCGATTATTATGGTATAAGTATCTTACTTGGATAAGCTCTGTGTTTATGCGAATCCACATTTTTTTATTGCAAGTCTCAACATGCGTTAAGATTAAAGTGCATTTTTATTTGTTTATTTTACTTATATTTTATTGTGCCTCAAATTTTTTCTAGAAATGAAAAATATGTAATTTCTATTAAAAGCAAATCGATTTACTTGCGTCTTCTGCAATTAATTATATTTTTTTAAATATTAACCGCTTTTAAAGTTTCGATATCAGAAACTCGATTTATAGCCTCTACTATATTTAATGGTTAAAATGCCACAGTTATGTATATATGGTATTTCATAAACATAATTATGTATGTCGTTGTTTTCCAATTGGTAAGAGAAACAGAAAGTACTTATAAACAATGTGATTCTGAAAGAACTACAGGTATACAAAAAGATATCAGGTACACTTAAAGAACCACAGGTCTAGAAAAAGATATCAGGTACAGTTAATATATATTATTTTAGTAGTCTAAAGTTGTGATCACACTGCCAAATAATTCGCATACAAATTTATTAAATATTCCAAGTATATCAATTAAAACCAAAAACAATTCCAACTTATTTAAGATTTACTACTCAAGGAATAATTGCAAAATACAAGTAGTACAAATTTATATGCAAGTTATTTGCATGTCTGTCCAAAACATAAGAAACCATAAAAATACAACTAAACACATAAAACATTGGTCATATTAACATTAATAAATGTGTACTTGAAGAAGTGTTTTATATTACATAAAAATGTATGTTCAGGGTTTCGACACCTACGATAAGACATTTGCAGATAACAAATGTTCTCTGGCACTCTTTCCTTGCCAGCAGATCATGGAAAAACAACAATCAATTGAGCAACTCCCACGATAAGCCCGGAGTAGTCCCTCTGACACGTAATTCATTTCGGGCAAATGCCTTTAGGGAAAATGCTACAAATGAGCGCATTACCGGACGCATACATAAAGGAAGATGGCGGAATAAATGGCGGACCAGCAGCCAGACCGAACGAGTGACATTGCCAAAATATGCACAAAGAATCAGCGCAGAGAAGCGCGTGGAAGACGAGAGACAGTGGAGGCAGAAAATGGCCTTAGGAGGCAATGACAACGACAATGCTGGCAGCGATGAAGGCGATGACGACGCCGACGACAATGGCAGCCACATTGCAGTGCCATTTTCATTATCCTTGGACTTGTCCTTTTGTCGCACAGACAAACAATACTTAGATATAGACACACACACTACATAAATGTGAAGGCATTTTTATTTGTGCTGTCTGACACAATGAAAACACATTCAGATACCCACCCACTCACTCGGATATACAACTGCATCCCAAGCAAACATTTAGTTTTGTATTTAAAATGCTGTACCAAGAGAATTCCGAAAAAGCCCTGGCTCAGACTCAAGCCCTCAGTCAAGCACATGAGCGCGCGCTAAGCACAAATGAAAATAATTGCCAAGTACAGACAACATGAAAAATGTCGCAAATGTCAAACGAATGCCAACCACAGCAGTAACAACAGCAATAAAAGAGCCTGCTGCGCAGCAATGGAACTATTAAGTATGCCTGATGCTGGCAAGTATGAGCAAGTTCTAGCACCCACATCTGCAAATTTGTTCAGTTGAGTTGTGTTGGCGCAAATGGGCCGAGTAGAGAATATCGATTACACTTCCCATTTGAATAAATGGTGACTGCCGATCAACACACTGCGGCTAAAACAAAAGTCTAGTAAATATTATTTTTAATTTCTATAATTATTCTACACATAGTACATATGTACAGAGCATTTCAAAGTCTCCACTTGTTTTCTTTCTTAATAAAGTCCATTAACTCCTTATAAAGATATGGCGATAGCAGCCACATTTTCCGATTCATTTCAGTAGGAAATTATTTATTTTATGTAAGAATTATCTGGTATTAATGTTAAGTCAGCATTAAATACATATACAACTTTTCTAACTTTCCTACATCATTTTTATAAATAAATACGGTAATTAAAATATGTAACTTAGCCAAAGAAAAATCTTTAAACGTAGTACACGAGTTCAAAAACCGAGTGGAATTAGAGCACGCAACACTATTGTTGTGATACCCAGACATTACTCTAATGATGTAATAATATTTGTCTGCGATAAATCAACAGCATGGTCCGTCAAGCTCTGTCGTAAGGGCTCCTCTTCCATTCAACTTAGACAATCATTGCCACACAATGCTTGATGTTATGGCTAATTGATTTAAATGGGCATCGCACTTTATGACTTTGTATGCATTTCTAATGGCCCTGACTGTCGAGGCGCATAAGACCACAACCATCGACAGATTTGGTTTGCGCTTTATCAAGGTCGTAACCACCGCCCTTCAACCGCCGCATTTGGTGGCCAGCGTAATTACCCAACAGCTGAATTTCTTTTTCATTCGGCGTTGCAATTTTTTATAGGCAACATATCTGCGAATCTTTACGCCCTTTTGCCGTTTTTATTACAAACCATATTTTGTTACTCATACGCCTTGTGGTACAGCCTTGACATTGGCTTCATGGACGCCATTTGTAGACTTTGGCGCTTCCATGGCTGTCGCCATTATTGTTGTTGTGGCTGTTGCGGTTGTTGCTGTCGCCACCGTCAGGCTTCCCAAAAAACTTGGCAACTTTACAATTTATGAAAATTACCTGCCTTAAAGTTTTTTTGCGTTCCCGTTGCTATTTTTTGGATTTGTGGCTTTTAGTTCGAGTTTCCTGCGGCGTCTTCGCAACTGCTTTGACGTTTCATTTTTGCAAACTGCTGTAAAGTGCAAAAATGTTTGTGCATTGATTATCATTTGCCCTGTTTGGTATTGCTGTCACATCCCAAAATAAACATTAGCCGGAGCGAAAAGCAAATCAGCAGCTGCCTCCGATAAGGTTTATAGCCGCATAAATTACTTTTGAGCTTGCAAGAAAATACTTAGACACGAAAATATGTAGATTTATTTTTTATTTATGTGAATCTCTATGTATATGTATTGTTAGGGATTCAAGTAACGGTTAGCCGTGAGTTGTTAATTACCTTTAAATTACACGAGTCAACAAAGATGTTGGTTTCAAAATATTTAACTTAGTAGTCTCATTGCTGTTGTGTTAGTTCTGAAGGACAAGCATTTATCTTCATCTACCGCATAATCGTGCCAACGAGTATCAGAAGTGAAAATATTTTTACGTTTAATTACAAAAGTTTTAGCCACAAACCTGTGACTGTAAGAGGGCGATGAGCAAAGTAAGCACCAGTGCTCTCAAAGTTAATATACAAGAAATGTACAGTGCAAGGATTTGCCAGCGATTTAGTCGTGAAGGGAAACGACGCCACAATGGTGGAAACGCAAAAACCGAAAATTCCATGCTGGTATTAAGCGAGAAATGTTTTTGGCAAATGCGCGCGTCCACTGTCGTGGCCAGCCATGCCCTGAGCCACCAACCAACGACCACCAGAACAACCAGCTAGCTGAGCGCATTAAACGCCAACGCACAAAAGTAGGCAACAATCCGTTGCATTCGCCGATGTACATGCGACTGTGTGTACATATTTATTTACAGTATGTGTGTGGATAAGCACATACAATAGCAAGCACAGTCTACTCCCATTAACATGACAGGTTTTAAGCCTATTAAAAACTTGCAACTACGCCTAAGAATATTTCAGAAGCATTTGGTTAAAGATCAAAAATCGAGCAAACATAACATTACACATACGTATATTATGAGCAATATAAAATAAAATATATCAAAGTATTTAATGTTAATGTTACCTTTTCATTATAAGTAAGTTTATTTTAATTTTAGTTATAGCTTAAAAAAAGCTGAAATGTATTTTATTAATTTGCTCGCTTTATTCGCCTTAGTTGCTATTTGAGGTCAAACATTTTATACTAAACTACAATATAGAAAGAATCTTACATAACAAATATATTTAATACTTATTTCTAAAATAGAGTATGGATTTTTAAAAATATATTTAAAAATGTTAGCAAATCTTTAAAGCAAAGTTCATGGAAATTTTATTTCTAAAATCGAGGATGGATTTTTTAAAATAAATTTTTAAATTGTCTTTAAAGCACGGTTCTTGGAAATTTTATGTTATTTTTTGCATCGTTTGCTTTTTTGTCTATAATATATCAAAACTGTAAAGCGCTAAAATTTATAAATGATATTGAAAAAGTGTGTTTCTATTTTGAATTACGAGTTTTTCAGAGTGAAGATTTCCAGTCAACTCGAGTGGACTGTAAACTCAAAAGTACCGCAGGCGAACAACAATGGTCATCCTCTTTGTAGTTGTTTCGTTGGCACTACCACCTCCTTGTTTTCGTTGCAGTGTTGGCAGTGAAGGCGATGCTGCCGCTGCTGCTTTCGCTTCTGCCGCTTGAAGCGTGTAAACATTTTTCAACTTGCAGGCAACAACAATGGCACATTGCTACATGCTTTCAATTTCATTTTACTTGTTTTCTATTCCCAGTCTCTCTTTCGGTTTCTCTTTATGTCAACCAGACAGTTTACATCTTTATCTGCCTAGCAGCTACTTTTTTACAATATGTCCCTCACATACATTTAAACTACAACATACAGACATACTTGGCTGCCTGCTTTCCGTGGAAACTTGCACTTAACCGCTCAACTTTCAATTACAGGAAATGGTTTAATCAACGAGGCTGAATTCCTGCAGTGGGTTGGACGCATTCAGGCGCTCCGCGACGAACAGCAACAACACGAGGAGAACGCCAGCAAGCCAGTGGATGAGGCCGATGATGTCACTGAAGACTTGATAGCAGCATTTAGGTAAGTCTCGAAGATACACGTGCGAACAAGATTGTTTGTTGACGTATCCAAAGAAGAGATTCCAGCCAGACATTGCATGAATTGTGATTTTGATTTTCACAATTCAAGCTCGTCATTATTGAATCTCTTTTAACTTTTGTAAAACAAATTTTAAATACGCATAAAAAAGTAATTCGGCTAACACCAATCAACATTTAATTAATTATCAGGGTATTCGATCGTGATGGCAATGGATTTATAACACGAGATGAGCTGCAAACCGCCATGGAAATGATTGGCGAGCCATTGAATGAGACGCAGTTGGAGCAGCTGTTGGCCATAGCCGATTTGGATCAGGATGGGCGCATTAATTACGAGGGTAAGTGCACAGTGGCCGCTAAGGCACTTGAACCGTTACAATGTCTGAACGGCAAAGGCCATTGCTGACGCAGGCGCTGCATATTGTGTGCGGTTTTAGGTGCATTGATTTTGCAGGACGAAGGACATAAATGGAAAATGAAACCCAGTTGTCTGGGCGTTTATCAAACCGCAACATAAAATATAACCTTGTGCCAATATTTGCAAAACAGCACCAACAACCATCCGCTCATAAATCAGATAGACACGCACACGTACCAACAGAATGGCATCGTCTCGTCGCCAACGGCGTGACAACTGTGTCCAAAAGTTGAATAAACCCCCGTCCAAGTGAACCCAACTTAATATGCGCGCATGTTTTTATTTGTTTATTTACCCGAGAAGTTTTTGTTAGTGCCCAACTATGGCCAAATATGAGCCGAACAAAAAAAAGCAAGTAAAAATAATGATGACTTTGGGGGCCAGGCGTTAACACGCATCAGTTTGCGCAACGATTGCAACAGATGCGGCGCCATATCAACACCCTTAACATAGGTATTGGGTTGGCGCTGTAGTCGTTTCCATTAGAAGCAATTTACGCCTTCTCAAGGTCACTTTATTCCTGTTGTTGGTTGGCTGTGATTTTCAGAAAAAAAAAAGATAGCTTGCAGAATTCTCAGAAGTTTCTTTGTCATTTCTAAGTACTTACAATTCGATTAAACCTGATGGCATAAGTTTTTCACAAAGTATACAAATGTTAGATAGCATAATAGCTGAAATTTTGTTCAGTTGTATATAGACGACCCATATATATATGTTGCAGGCGAAAGAAAGCGACTAGAATGCTAAGAAGTCTTAGGTGTATCGAAAAGAAACTAGCACGTTCCCCTCCCTGAAAATTTAGATGCCAAATTGGAGATTGGAGTTTTAATATACAACTACACATATATGCAAAAGAAATCTTAAGAGAACAAGCTTATTAAAAATTGTAATTGTAGAACTTATACCGGCACAGAAATATAACGTAATGAGAGGTAAAAAGGTGACCCAGCAACAGGCTCACTGCATGGCATACTAACACACGTACATTGATTTACTAAGCTTAAACTAATAAACAGCACCCACACATAAGTTCACTGGGACGGACAGACAGCAGCCTGTTGAATGATAAGTGGGTGCCTTCGACCCCAAGCTTTGCTTGAATAGTCCGGTGTGGCCTAATAGTACAAATCATTGGGTTCACTTGCCGAGGCTTCGTGCCCGTTGATACTTTGACCTTGTACCGAACGTTACGACGAACATGTGTCCTGTCCGCTCTATTTGTTTGCTGACATGTGCAACTTATTGATTTTATGTTTGCCTCTCTTGTTTGTGTTCCTGTCCATTCTCAAAGTTATGTATGTATTTACACGCATGTGGCACACATACGACATGCATCCTAGAAAAAATTGAGTTAGTGCTCAATTTTAAAGTTTATTCATTTTTCGTTGCAAAGGAGCAGGCGACAAGACCGGCATTTCCATGCTACGTGCCATCGTTCCAATTTATATATTAAATTACGAGAGGTGGATCATTAAATGTCCAACAATTTTCAAAACATCGATTGGTTCTTACAATTTTATTTGTATTTAATTAAACAAAAAATATGTCCCCATATGCTGACAACTTAAATCTGTTAATAATACTGCGTACATTGTACTCAATACTTACGCATATAAGACTGTTAAAAATATCGTTGAAGAACAAGTTAATTCCTATTCTTCGGTCTGAAACTAATTCAATTAGTTTTCGATAGCACTTAGTAGATAAGTATTTAAATCTTTAGGGCTTTGTTCGGGCGCTAATGCTAAATATAATTAAAATACAGTGCTTAAGTTTAGCTTTTGATGTCAATAATCATTAAATGTGTTTGAACAAGGAACTGGTCTAAAACTTTCTCAGTTTATATTTTGATTCGAAATGGTAACAAATTGGTGATACTTCTTATTAAATATGCACCTGTTAACATTGCAACAATCTAATATTGTATTTTGTTTTTTTTTTTTCTTACAGAATTCACGAGACTCCTACTCTAAGCCGCCCACGCCTGGTATTGTCTACAGCAACAACTAAAAATCAACAAATTTAATAAAGTTACTTGCAAAGTAATAACAAACTTAAACTTAACATAATTATTTAGCATACTCAACCACAACAAAAAGAAAAGAAGGAAAAGCAAATTACTTAATATTTTATACAAAACATACATATACATATACTATATAGTTAGGTATGAGAAGGAAAGCTTCACGCATACACACATCTTGGGCTGATACTGTTTGGCGTTTAGATTGGCGTAAAAACACATTAAGCGTTGGACACTTGTAAATGTAAATTATTCCTTAAGTAATTGTTTTCTTATAATCGTTTGTTATTCAACATAATAATCATGTGTATTCACTTCATGCGCAAATGTTTATGTTATACTATAAGAAAAGGTCACAAAATGCCTGAGTAAAAAAATATATATCTTTTGGATAAGTTAAAAACAAAAAACAAACAAAGAAATCAATTAATTTTCAGTTTAGGGTTTCTGATAAAATCTTTGTAAATGGCATTATGTTAAAGATAAAATTCTTACACATTTAAAAAGAAATATATATGCATATTCGGATAAGTCTGAGCGCGTGAGTGATATTGTGTTTAGGGTGCTGCAAAAACAAAAAAAAAAAGCATACAAAAATTTAATAAATGCATATATATAAATACTATATATTTATTGAAAAAAAGTATATTCATATTTTAATACAAAAATAAATAAATACAAAGATTATCCCGCTTTTTATGTGTATGTGCGTTAAAACAATATAAAAAAAGAACTATGTTACGAATTTGTTAGCTTACGTACTAAGCTGTATAAAATGTAAAAGCAAACCATTTATCCAAAACTTAAAAACATATCGACTCCTTTGCAAACAAATATCTTGATCGTGGTTTTGTATTCAATGGAGATGAGATGTAGCATTTTATCTATGAAGCTTTATTACAGCTGCAACATTGTAGAACTTAAAACTATTCTTACTGAACGGCAATGTTATTTTTCAAATGTAATTCGTGTTTTTAAATCAAAGACTAGTTTTTCAGTATTTGGAATCCATCATTTCTTATCACTATATTAAGTAACATAAAAGTGCAGTTATATATTATTAACTTCTGGCTTAAATCTGCTATAAAAATATATAAAATTACCACTCTTCCAATTCCGATTCTTAGTCAATTGATCAGACAATTTTAATGAATAAATATTATCACAAAAATTTGCATATAAAGGAGTCGATATGAATTAGTATTGTTTTAAATATTAACCTAAAACTCCAAGTCAAACAGAGCAGACTTGCTTAAATAATTGCCCTGAAGACGGTTACCGTGGCGTAACCGAAATATATCGGAAAAAGAAAAGAAAATTAAATAAATTGGTTTTTCTTACTCTGACCTCGAGCCGGCCAAACAATAAAAATAATTAACCTAAAACTTGAAAAAGGGAAAGCAGATTTGGTAGACTAACTTAACTTCATAAAAATTTGATGCATTCTATGTCCCACAAACTGAAATCTAGTCATATATAATTTTAGAAAGTCTTAATTCCAACAATTAAACTTAAAATCAAATATTAACCTCCTTCTGGAGGTCCCCGCCACATCGACTTAAAGTTTCAGGAAGATAAGCCAATAAATTAAATATAAAAGTAAATTTATTTTCAAAAACAACTGTTTCCGTATTTTCATACATAACTAAGATTTTATGGTTAGGTTTTTTTTTAACTCAGCTTCTTTCACATTTTCGTAAAGTTGGGGAAAGAAATTCGAAAGAAATTTATGATGCCCTAATGTGCCAGCTATTTAAAATCGGTAGTCGTGTATAGCCGGGTTGGTTTGAAAATTAATGCAAGAGAGAAAGGTTTAATCAGTTATGATTAATTTCTTTGTTTCCAACAAAAGACAATAGTCCATTTAATTGCCGTCCCGGCTTAGCCATAGTTGCATAATTGCCTTTTAAAAAAATAAAAGCAAATAGAAACACACACTTACCCCATAAAGCATGCCTATTAATTTAGGCATTGCGGTTTCAATTTAGTTTCGTGTTTACTTGTAGTTCCAGCTTACAAGGTATTGAACAAAAGTGCTCTTTAAAACAACAGTTAAATGATGAAACTAACTCTATTTAAATATTATATAAAGAAAACTATATATTTGGTGCCATAAATTATCAGGTCAAAGGTACAAATGGTTCATTGGAAAATTTAGAAAGCTACCCCAAAAACTTTTGTACGAAATTTACAGCTGGATAAATAGGCGTCCCTGCGAAAAGGCGACCTTAAATAGAATCTTTTCAAAAGAAATACCTTACCCAAGAAAAAATTGCATATTCATATACATATATATTTATATTATACTCCAATAGTTTTTGTGACATCTAAATGTGTGCTTAACTTACATAGTTATACGCAGAGCTATATATATATATATACATATATGTATATATACTTACATACACATATGCATATTGCTGTTGATGGGAAAAACTATATAACTATTCTGTTTATGTTTAAAGTGAAAACATTAAACTAAATACTTAATATTGTATAATGGAATTTAAGACATTATCTATATAAATGCATAAACAACATACTTAGTTACATATTTGATGTAAGCATAAACAATTTCATAATTTATAATTGTGAAAAAAGATAAAAAATAATAAAGAAAAATAAACCAACGCTCAATTACTAGATCCTTTCATTTATTAAAAATTTACAGAAGTGTTTGCTTTGAGAAAATATATATATCTTACTTTGACTCCGATAATAAATTTATGGCTGAGGAAATCAAACTAAGTCGGTAGGTGGCCATAGAAAATGGTAAAAGTTACTTAACAGATCAAAATGCATGCTATTTATTACTTGTAGTATTTGTAAATTTGTAGTTTCTACAAATTTATGCACGTTCAATAACAAAAATGTTTTTTGGACTAAAAATCGTTCGAACATAAACAAACATATTATTCAAGTGAGAATTGAGCATGTATACTTCCATAAATTCTTAAATGAAATGCAAAATTGTGGAAGTTCACTAATACAGGGAGATGGGGAGATCGACAGAAAAAAAATTTACTACCTTATGGAGTCGGAGATGCATTTCATAAATTCAACATTCCCTTTTTAACCGTCGATTACAAAGTATCGTAAAGATAACTTGACTTGGAAAAACGTGCATTTCATTTACACATGTACATTTTTAAGGGGAGAAGTTTTTTTTTTTTATAAACGTGTCCTAGTCCGCTCAAAGTATAAATATGTTGTTTAAATAAATATAGTTTTTATACTTTTCGAATGTGCCTTTATTTATACATATGTATATGTAAGTATGTACATTCACAAAATATCTTTAAATCTTTAGATTTTATTTTATCTGAATTACAATGTTCCTATTTTTAAACCTAATAAATATTTGAATATAACAAAGTATACATCAAGTTACATCAAATTACACCATCAATCTGTGTTTGAATGAATTTTCGTTAAGTCGTGAATTGTGAGCTGTACATGGAGCTCACGGCAATTTTCGAAGTTGTCACGTTCACAAAATGTACAGACATTTTAGTCTTATACGATCACATAACCTAGCGTACACAATCGCACACAGCTTTAGTAAAATAAAACAATAAAAAACATTCAGGAAGGCAGCAGCTCTATTTTTCGAAATGTTATACATATATTCACAACAAAGTATGCCGTGTCATTACTGTTTTGGCCCGGCATTGTGAAATTTTATTTTTTCACACAAGGAGCAAACAAGTAATACGTAAAATTCAGTTTACGACATTTCTAAATTTTTCGCTGTGCATAAAATAACAAAAATTAAATACAGAAACTTTTGAAATAGCAGCGCATATTTTTTGAAAAACAACTATGGGTGACGAAAAGGTAAGCACGCTAAATCAAGTTATCTGCTATTTCTGTTACCACCCAATCTGTAATACACATACAAATTAATTTGTATCTACGGCATTATATGGCGGCTTTCAGTTCTACGCTTCGGTCACTCTAAATTCGCGACTACCATATGATTTAGTGATGCTAAGAGTTGAAATTTACCATCGGCTGCTAAAAATCGATAGAAATGCGGAACATCGTAGTTTTAATTACTTCGATGGTTTCGTCGTTGTCGTGTAGTCCGTGCATATAGTTGCGAATCATATTATTTTTTGTGAAAAACGAACAAAACGAAAGCCAAATTCAATTAAACGGTAGCAAAAATTACCTAAATTGTCTATTGTGTACGTTTACGTCTGCGTGTGCGTTATTGTGAGGCTGATAAACGCCTGCACGACTTTTCAATATTCATAGTGTTAACTTAAAGCCGCAAAGTGGATACCGATAACGTGAAAATCGAGGATTTGATGGACTCTGATCCTGACATAGAGTTCATTGAAAAGGATAGTGGAATGTCCTCATTGGGTGGTAGCAAGGATGAAACACCTGAGCGGCGCACAGTTGCTACTGTAAGTGCAAGTTCGAGGTTGTCGCTGGCCTGTGTGCGTTTGCGTAATTGGCATATTGCTAGAAAAAACGTGCACCATCCCTAACACGCATTGATATTGATTAATACAATACATAAATGCATTTTTGATTCTTTGCAGACATCAAACAATCCACAGGACGGGGGTGAGAACTATGATGACGTAAGTGGCACATGATATTAATATTGTGATTTGTTTGTAAACAATATATTTTCAATGATCTAACCTCAAACTTCCCAATACGCCAGGAACCCGATGAGAGCGTCGGTGAACGCATGTGGGGATTGACCGAAATGTTTCCGGAATCTGTCCGCAATTTCGCCGGCAAAGTGACCAATGCCACGGTAAAGAGCTTCCGCAGCGTTTACCAGTTTTCGTGCAATGCATCGTGGATATTCTTTACAAGCTCCGTTATATTGTTTGCGCCAGTCATCTTTGAGACCGAGCGTGCTCAGATGGAGGAACTACACAAGTCGCAGCAGAAGCAAGTGCTTCTTGGTCCTGGCAGTGCCATGGCCGCATCTGGACCAGCGCCCAATTTACCATTGATTCGTTAGTTTACATTATTTACATTATTAGCTGCATAACGAAAGCGAATCCAAATAACGAAAAATGCCAGAAGTTAGTTTAAGTTACACACCCATGAATGCGATACCCAGCCACCCTCGCATACAATAGCTAAATTTCAAAATAATGGACAACCCAATTTAATATCCCATAGCATACCTGGAAGCCTCAGCATTTACGCGAACTATATGGCACAGCCTACTTTACTAGCGTTTACGACTGTTTTTCAGCATTGCAATCACAGCAACACATTAAGCATAGAGCATTCAGCCATTAACAAAACATACAGTAAAGATATACTTTCGAGCAGTTGTGAAAATTCAAATAGGACTTTTTAGTACTGTAGATGGTGTATACTAAAATAACAAATACTGTTTAAACAAAATTTAATAAAAAAATATGTTTATTAAGAGTTAATCGGTGCTTTGCCATGTGATTTAATAGACCATGCCAAGGTACTCGCGTGGAATGGGGTGTTCGGTATAGTAGCGTCTAAATTCGCCTGCATATTTATTGCGAAGCTGGCGCTCGCCGATCTCATTAAAGCGCTGCGCCAGGAACACATACACATCCAGCACCTTGGCATGGGCTTCAAGTTTCTTAAACGCCTGTGCTGCACGTTGCAACACATCTACGGATTTCAACAGCTGTGCCTTACGTAGATCTGCATCTGTGCCTGCAATGGCAAGCAGACAGCGCACAAAAACGAAATCAGTCTTAGCACGTTCATACAATCCACCATTTATATGGACGTCCTCCATGCAGTGCTTAATGGCTTGGTAAGCCTTTTGCGGCATGCCAAGAAGCAGCAGTAGTTGGGCCAAGACCATATCCACCAACGCTAGTTCGTAGTCCATTTGGGATTCCGTCATTTCTTCCGCTACACCCAGGAGAAGAGTCACAGTTTCACTTGAGAATCTTCCATCGGCGAGACTGCAATATCCTAAAAGCAGCTGAACACGTATGCGTATAAGAAAGGGCATTTGAGTTTGTGACACCAACTTGTCCAGCAAACGGCGTGCATTGAAGAACTCCCGTTTTGCAACATAGATTGTTGCTCGCTGAAGCATAGCATCGGCGGGATCGAGCAGATGCAGCTGATCGCAGGCCTTCATGGCATCATGCCACCGACAACGATAAATACCCGACTGTATAATAACATGGCATTGGCTGATCATCCAACATTCTGCACTGGGCATTCGAGGAAGATGCTCACGAGCGCGATAGAGCAGCACGTGCGACAGCTGCATTTCGCCCTGCAATTGCAGCCATAAAGCATAGCTAGCCAAAGCACTGCCCACGCTCGCCGAGCCTCGGCAGAAACGATCTCGCTCCACAAGTAGCAACTGTGCATAGAGAGCCGACAACTCGTGACGCCCATAGGCACACCAGACAGCCGAACGCAGGGCCAGAGCCTCCGAGGCGTGATCTGCAAAATTATTTCGATTGGTTAGATTATCACTGCGCTGAAGCAGATCAAAGAGACGTAGCGGCTGGTATCCAGCAACTGTGCCTAGCTTGACGGCAAAGTGCAAGGCCAAAGTGTGATTTTGCAATAATGAGCCATCAGTATCTGCGGCCTCGGCAACGCTACGTTGGACAGAGGACAGTGGCAGCTCATCACGTAGCAGACAGTACCAAGTGTTGGCCAAATTCAAGCTGCGCTTATCCCCATGCTCTTGTGCCAGCATTATGCCTTCTCTAAGAGCAGCTAAGGCTTCGTCTCGATGACCGAAAGTAGCATGCAGCACCGCCAAATTAACACAAAAATATTGATATCCCTTCTCCTGGCTCATCATGCGTACCGGGCTACGATCGAGAGCGCGATGTAGGGCTGCCAGGGCATTTTTATAGTCACGCACTCGCAACTGATTCATGTAACCCAAAAAGTATGGGGTCGTTGCCAACGGTATATCATTGATTATTTCCTGCACCTTGCGATGCAGCTCTATGGGTGGGAGCGCATTTCGCTCGCTATGCTCTAGCAGCTCGGATTGTTTGTTAATAAAGACCTTAGCTTGCTTGGGTGCCCATTTACCCATCGAACTACTGCCAGTGGGTTCAGTTACAACCGCGTCGGAACAGGATGGAGCTGCATTGGCAGACTCCGGTTTGTTGATTCTTAATGCTACTTCATTTTTGTCGTCTGTCTTCTCTTCAGTTGTCGCCGGTGGAGTCTCAGCTCTATGCAGAATGCCACCTGCAATTTGTTTGTTTGGCCCAACAGCCAGGGCGCGCACACCAGTCTCATAGTAAGTGCAAAAGTTCTTATACATGCCCACCATTTCGGAGAAACTGAACCGTTCTAGCACCACGCCGACCCTGCGAACATAGACGCCCATCATACTGAATTGGCTTACGCCCCAACTTTCATTCAGCAGATTATCAATGTTTTGGGACTCGGAAAAATCAAAGAGCGCCTCAATGCCATTAGCGCAGAACTCCGACATGGCCTTCTCGAATGCTTCCAATAGCAGAGTGTCCAACTTGTAGCGATGAGAAGTGAGAAGATTGTGGAATTTGTAGTAACTCATGTCCGCCTCCTGCACAATCTTAAACATCAGCATGCAGAACATTCGACGTCGCTGCGGATTCATTATGACCCCTGAATCTAACGAGGATTTTTTATCCTGCAATTTAATTTACAAATATTTGCAAGCCATGGTTGGAAATTAGCAAACATACCGCGATATATTGTTTGAGTAATATTAGAACGGCAATTTTATGTGGCGTAGGATTTTCGATACGCGGCGGCGTCGGCTTTCCGCTAGGCTCTAGCGTGTCCAGTTCCTCAAAAAGATTCATTGTGCAAGCATTATATTTCCACTTCTATATTTGTTTTGTTGTGGCGCTGACCCAAAAACACCTGAAAATAAGTCTGTAAAAAGCACCACTAGAATTGTAATCGCAGTCTGGCAACTCTACTTATGCGCGCTTATATTTTAAAATTACGACACCCCTAGACTAGCAGATTCATATTGCCAAAGGTAGAAAGGGCATCATTTAATTTATGTATTTTTTTCCACAATAAATGTAAATACCAAATGCAATGCCATGCCAAAGAGTTATTGGCGTCTGGTAACACCATTAATGCAAAATTAAAACCGCGCCAAAAGTTTTAATTTGTACATATGTAAGTATTAAGTAAATTTGCACTAAATCGCGAAAGCAAATACGCACGCATACAGGTTTATTGTTTATATTTTTATTTGTTTATATTTTTATTTGTTTTTAACAGACGCTAAAGAAAACCCAAAGTTCATAGATTAACTACCCCTTTTACAGTTTGTTTACAATCTAAGCACACTAATATTTGTGGTGTGTAAAAGACATGGAATTTCTTATACAGTGAACAGTACTGTAAGTGCATGTATGCAGTTAATGCTTAAAGCACAAATGGAAAAATGGAACGACGCTGTCTGGGGTAATCCTTGAACTCCTTCTTATAGTTGCGGTGTTTAGCAAGGGCCCACACGGTCATCTGGAAGGCGCCGGCAAAGGCAAACAGATAAGCGGCCAGGCAAGATGTCATCACTGAAAAAGATACCCAGGCGCCAATTTCATAAGTGTAGTTGGGACAAGATACCAAATTAAAGAGCTTTGTCAATGGATTAGCATCCGGGACAGGTATTCTGCGGACTTTGGTGCCTGGTGGACGCAGATTACGCAAAGCAATGTGTATGGAAAAATTGCCCAGTTCGCACAGCTGTAAAGAAAACGGTGTTATTTGTACAGATTTATTCAATGGCCAAAGATTCATAGATACTTACCGCAAAGGCAGCTAATGAAGCCCACACAGTGCACATACATGGTGAAGTGTATTGAGGATGATTTACATGATACGACACATAGGCTGTAAAACCCCAATAGTAACTACAGTTCTTGAAGAGGTTGCGCAAGGGCATTGTCGCATGCGAGAAACGATGTACAAAGATCGTCTCCAGCAGTCTCTTCACATAGTGGACTGTATAACAGCCAGCGGCAATGCTGTTACAAAATATACATCGAAAAACGGGTTAATAATTATGCGGATACGAAAACCGCGCTAATACATGCGTTTCTGTCCGAACCAAACTTTGCATAAGCGCAACGTTAGCCGCTGTTGGGGTCAAAGTGGGTCGTCGTCGTCATAGTCGATTTGTACGAAATCAAAAAATCGAAAGATGTAGATGTGCGCGCAACCGTAAGGGAAAGTCGCACACACACACAAACACACGCACATGTACGTACATGCATACATATATCTGCATATAAATGTCCACTTACTGAGTTGTGAGTGAGATCGGGGTGCTTGCCGCCTTGCCATAGATGAGCTCCGGTCGGAAGTAAAAAATTAAATAGACTATCAAAGGACCAGCATACTCGGCCAAAAATACAGTCTTCCATCCAATTTGAGGACCCAGATCCTTTATATAGACCTTATCACCATTGCGGACATTCAAACTGTCCAAGGTGTCGGTGTCCTTTAGCGACTTGTCGCGCACATCAAGGCGCAGGGACTGGCGGTCCTCATGTGGGGTCGACTTTAGAGTTTTGTGAATTATCACACGCAGCTCAGCAACCGTTGTGCCCGATGACGGAGCCTTTACCTTGCCATAGGGCTTAGTAGTTTTGGCACTGAGTATTTCAAGCTATAGGGACATTTTTCAATTAAAAACTTTTTGCACCCATTTAAGCGACTGCATTAACTCACCTCCATTTCTTGTGCGGGTAATGCCTGACTAGCGAACTGATATTAATACGGAATGAATAAAATCGGCAAATGAGAAAGTCAAAGTACACAGAAGTGTGACCATAGGTCTAACAATGCAAAATCACACAATTTTTGAATACCCCCACAGCACAATATTTATTGTGCAAATAATCAAATAAATATTTTTCAATTTTTTGTCCAACTTCATATGAATAAATATACATATCTAATCTAAGGAAAACTTGAAATTTCAGTCGATGCTTTGCTACACAACTAGCTGAAACACATTTTTATAGTCATTCAAGTTTCAGGCCTAGTGACCATAGCCCAAATACTCAACATAGCAATAGACAAAATCAGTCGGAAAATCAATTCATCATATCCCAGTTGAGCTAAAAGATCTGTATTTGTTGCGGTAAAAAGATAATAGTCCCGATTCATTTAAAGAAGCTTAAATTTTCAAAAATCAGTGGATTGTTTTTAGTTTATGTACGTGTTCATACAAGTTATATATACATACACATATATTTTAAAAAAGAGACACCAACGGTAAGTATTCCTTTCAATTACAATGAGCGGAAGCGGACTTATCTTTCGACGGTGTTTTAAAGCTACAGTCCTGTTATACGCTATTATAAAGAAATAAAAGCACAGTGCAAAAAGTAGAAAAAACTATAGTTACATACATATGTATATGTAGGCTTTATTTTAAGAGGGCTACGATTCTATTATCAGATTTGCAAATAAAAGGTCATTCAAAAAAATCACTCGGCCAGTAAACTCAGTACGTTAAAGAGGTCTTGTCTTGAATTTGTTCAAAATAATTTTTTACATTCATTTTTGTGGTAAGTTCAAGTTTTATAAACAATAAAAGTAGGCATTGATTTTAAAATCGTAACGAAAATATTTAGAATAATTTATTTTGCATTTGACTCCGAAGCAAAACACATCGAAAAAAAAAACGATTTGTATAAATCCTGCATTCAACGAACTAACAGCTGTAATAAGTGAAATATACGCAATATTTCAAGCTAACGTGTTTTATATCGGTGAGTGAAAGTATATTGCTTTAAATTTTGAGTAGAGGTGGGTAATAAATACTAATTCACGGTGGGTCGTTCACTTAGGTGGCAACGTGTGATATTTTTATGAGTGAGACGAACATACATACGCAGCCTTCTATGTAAGTAAATTTCTTACTACGTATCTGCAATTAAAATGTTATTAGGCTCTTTAATGCATGCGCACCATATTGCGTAAATGAATATCAGCAAATTCAAAACGTTAGGTGCATTTTCTTAATATTCCTTGGCTATTTCTTTGTTAAGTCTGCAATTACAAATATTTTAAGTGTGGTGAAAATTTATAGTGCAAGTGAGATATCCATAGTCGTACTGGAAATTTCCCTAAAATTGCCTTGTAGCAGCGCAAATTATAAAAGACCCCGATTTAATGCCATAGAAATTATTGATAATTAGAGGCCAGACTGGTAAAGAGATCCGCGTGAATACAATAAGAATAAAGACGAAATTAGCAAAACAATTTCAGAAGTGTTAAAGATAAAGTAAGTTTTGGGACGGTTGAATTTAATTAACTGTATACGTGTTGTTGTCGCTTGCGAAGCTAATTTCGTGTTAATTCTTTTCTCTTGTGTAATATCATACGTATGTATGTATGTACATGTATAATGATACCTACACATACATATGTATGCAATGTAGTACGTACTCGTATCCATATGCATATATTTCGGCTGTGCACATACATATACAATAGCAGAACCAGGGTTTTTCAATAACCTGGTGAAATTATTTTATGCCGTCACAAAGTGAACGTTCCAGACTGCATAAAAGTACATCAATGTATACATATGTATGTATGTATGTATATGTACATATGTATGCATGTATGTATACATTCATTCTTTGTCATTATCTCAATCATTTGTCGAATAACAATATACATACACACAAAAACTCTTCCCATGTATGGAAAAAATTAAGTACTTGCAAATATATTAGCTGTTTACCTTCTTACATTTGCAATGTTAAGACATTCTTTTAATCAATTTCAGTTTGCAGAATAATCCGAAATGCAGATCTTTGTAAAGACCCTTACTGGCAAGACCATCACTTTGGAGGTTGAGCCCAGCGATACCATTGAGAACGTAAAGGCCAAGATCCAGGATAAGGAGGGCATTCCTCCAGACCAACAGCGTCTGATCTTCGCCGGAAAACAGTTGGAAGATGGACGCACCCTGTCAGACTACAACATCCAAAAGGAGTCGACTCTTCACTTGGTGCTCCGTCTGCGTGGTGGCATGCAAATCTTTGTGAAGACTCTCACCGGCAAAACCATCACTTTGGAGGTTGAGCCCAGCGACACCATTGAGAACGTAAAGGCCAAAATCCAGGATAAGGAGGGCATTCCCCCAGACCAACAGCGTCTGATCTTCGCCGGAAAACAGTTGGAAGATGGGCGCACCTTGTCTGACTACAACATCCAAAAGGAGTCGACCCTTCACTTGGTGCTCCGTCTGCGTGGTGGCATGCAAATCTTTGTGAAGACTCTCACTGGTAAAACCATCACTTTGGAGGTTGAGCCCAGCGATACCATTGAGAACGTGAAGGCCAAGATCCAGGATAAGGAGGGCATTCCCCCAGACCAACAGCGTCTGATCTTCGCCGGAAAACAGTTGGAAGATGGGCGCACCTTGTCTGACTACAACATCCAAAAGGAGTCGACCCTTCACTTGGTGCTCCGTCTGCGTGGTGGTATGCAAATCTTTGTGAAGACTCTCACTGGCAAAACCATCACTTTGGAGGTTGAGCCCAGCGATACCATTGAGAACGTGAAGGCCAAGATCCAGGATAAGGAGGGCATTCCCCCAGACCAACAGCGTCTGATCTTCGCCGGAAAACAGTTGGAAGATGGACGCACCCTGTCAGACTACAACATCCAAAAGGAGTCGACCCTTCACTTGGTGCTCCGTCTGCGTGGTGGCATGCAAATCTTTGTGAAGACTCTCACCGGCAAAACCATCACCTTGGAGGTTGAGCCCAGCGACACCATTGAGAACGTAAAGGCCAAAATCCAGGATAAGGAGGGCATTCCCCCAGACCAACAGCGTCTGATCTTCGCCGGAAAACAGTTGGAAGATGGACGCACCTTGTCTGACTACAACATCCAAAAGGAGTCGACCCTTCACTTGGTGCTCCGTCTGCGTGGTGGCATGCAAATCTTTGTGAAGACTCTCACCGGCAAAACCATCACTTTGGAGGTTGAGCCCAGCGATACCATTGAGAACGTAAAGGCCAAAATCCAGGATAAGGAGGGCATTCCCCCAGACCAACAGCGTCTGATCTTCGCCGGAAAACAGTTGGAAGATGGACGCACCTTGTCTGACTACAACATCCAAAAGGAGTCAACCCTTCACTTGGTGCTCCGTCTGCGTGGTGGCATGCAAATCTTTGTGAAGACTCTCACCGGCAAAACCATCACTTTGGAGGTTGAGCCCAGCGACACCATTGAGAACGTAAAGGCCAAGATCCAGGATAAGGAGGGCATTCCCCCAGACCAACAGCGTCTGATCTTCGCCGGAAAACAGTTGGAAGATGGGCGCACCTTGTCTGACTACAACATCCAAAAGGAGTCAACCCTTCACTTGGTGCTCCGTCTGCGTGGTGGTATGCAAATCTTTGTGAAGACTCTCACCGGCAAAACCATCACCTTGGAGGTTGAGCCCAGCGACACCATTGAGAACGTAAAGGCCAAAATCCAGGATAAGGAGGGCATTCCCCCAGACCAACAGCGTCTGATCTTCGCCGGAAAACAGTTGGAAGATGGACGCACCTTGTCTGACTACAACATCCAAAAGGAGTCAACCCTTCACTTGGTGCTCCGTCTGCGTGGTGGCATGCAAATCTTTGTGAAGACTCTCACCGGCAAAACCATCACCTTGGAGGTTGAGCCCAGCGACACCATTGAGAACGTAAAGGCCAAAATCCAGGATAAGGAGGGCATTCCCCCAGACCAACAGCGTCTGATCTTCGCCGGAAAACAGTTGGAAGATGGACGCACCTTGTCTGACTACAACATCCAAAAGGAGTCGACCCTTCACTTGGTGCTCCGTCTGCGTGGTGGCATGCAAATCTTTGTGAAGACTCTCACCGGCAAAACCATCACTTTGGAGGTTGAGCCCAGCGATACCATTGAGAACGTAAAGGCCAAGATCCAGGATAAGGAGGGCATTCCCCCAGACCAACAGCGTCTGATCTTCGCCGGAAAACAGTTGGAAGATGGACGCACCTTGTCTGACTACAACATCCAAAAGGAGTCAACCCTTCACTTGGTGCTCCGTCTGCGTGGTGGCATGCAAATCTTTGTGAAGACTCTCACCGGCAAAACCATCACTTTGGAGGTTGAGCCCAGCGACACCATTGAGAACGTAAAGGCCAAGATCCAGGATAAGGAGGGCATTCCCCCAGACCAACAGCGTCTGATCTTCGCCGGAAAACAGTTGGAAGATGGGCGCACCTTGTCTGACTACAACATCCAAAAGGAGTCAACCCTTCACTTGGTGCTCCGTCTGCGTGGTGGTATGCAAATCTTTGTGAAGACTCTCACTGGCAAAACCATCACTTTGGAGGTTGAGCCCAGCGATACCATTGAGAACGTGAAGGCCAAGATCCAGGATAAGGAGGGCATTCCCCCAGACCAACAGCGTCTGATCTTCGCCGGAAAACAGTTGGAAGATGGACGCACCCTGTCAGACTACAACATCCAAAAGGAGTCGACCCTTCACTTGGTACTCCGTCTGCGTGGTGGCATGCAAATCTTTGTGAAGACTCTCACCGGCAAAACCATCACTTTGGAGGTTGAGCCCAGCGACACCATTGAGAACGTAAAGGCCAAGATCCAGGATAAGGAGGGCATTCCCCCAGACCAACAGCGTCTGATCTTCGCCGGAAAACAGTTGGAAGATGGGCGCACCTTGTCTGACTACAACATCCAAAAGGAGTCGACCCTTCACTTGGTGCTCCGTCTGCGTGGTGGCATGCAAATCTTTGTGAAGACTCTCACCGGCAAAACCATCACTTTGGAGGTTGAGCCCAGTGATACCATTGAGAACGTGAAGGCCAAGATCCAGGATAAGGAGGGCATTCCCCCAGACCAACAGCGTCTGATCTTCGCCGGAAAACAGTTGGAAGATGGACGCACCTTGTCTGACTACAACATCCAAAAGGAGTCGACCCTTCACTTGGTGCTCCGTCTGCGTGGTGGCATGCAAATCTTTGTGAAGACTCTCACCGGCAAAACCATCACTTTGGAGGTTGAGCCCAGCGACACCATTGAGAACGTAAAGGCCAAGATCCAGGATAAGGAGGGCATTCCCCCAGACCAACAGCGCCTGATCTTCGCCGGAAAACAGTTGGAAGATGGACGCACCTTGTCTGACTACAACATCCAAAAGGAGTCGACCCTTCACTTGGTGCTCCGTCTGCGTGGTGGCATGCAAATCTTTGTGAAGACTCTCACCGGCAAAACCATCACTTTGGAGGTTGAGCCCAGCGACACCATTGAGAACGTAAAGGCCAAGATCCAGGATAAGGAGGGCATTCCCCCAGACCAACAGCGTCTGATCTTCGCCGGAAAACAGTTGGAAGATGGACGCACCTTGTCTGACTACAACATCCAAAAGGAGTCGACCCTTCACTTGGTGCTCCGTCTGCGTGGTGGCATGCAAATCTTTGTGAAGACTCTCACCGGCAAAACCATCACTTTGGAGGTTGAGCCCAGCGATACCATTGAGAACGTGAAGGCCAAGATCCAGGATAAGGAGGGCATTCCCCCAGACCAACAGCGTCTGATCTTCGCCGGAAAACAGTTGGAAGATGGACGCACCTTGTCTGACTACAACATCCAAAAGGAGTCGACCCTTCACTTGGTGCTCCGTCTGCGTGGTGGCATGCAAATCTTTGTGAAGACTCTCACCGGCAAAACCATCACTTTGGAGGTTGAGCCCAGCGATACCATTGAGAACGTGAAGGCCAAGATCCAGGATAAGGAGGGCATTCCCCCAGACCAACAGCGTCTGATCTTCGCCGGAAAACAGTTGGAAGATGGACGCACCCTGTCTGACTACAACATCCAAAAGGAGTCGACTCTTCACTTGGTGCTCCGTCTGCGTGGTGGCATGCAAATCTTTGTGAAGACTCTCACTGGCAAAACCATCACTTTGGAGGTTGAGCCCAGCGATACCATTGAGAACGTGAAGGCCAAGATCCAGGATAAGGAGGGCATTCCCCCAGACCAACAGCGTCTGATCTTCGCCGGAAAACAGTTGGAAGATGGACGCACCTTGTCTGACTACAACATCCAAAAGGAGTCAACCCTTCACTTGGTGCTCCGTCTGCGTGGTGGCATGCAAATCTTTGTGAAGACTCTCACCGGCAAAACCATCACTTTGGAGGTTGAGCCCAGCGACACCATTGAGAACGTAAAGGCCAAGATCCAGGATAAGGAGGGCATTCCCCCAGACCAACAGCGTCTGATCTTCGCCGGAAAACAGTTGGAAGATGGGCGCACCTTGTCTGACTACAACATCCAAAAGGAGTCGACCCTTCACTTGGTGCTCCGTCTGCGTGGTGGCCAAGTTTAATTACTCAATCAATATTGTTGAATCCTACACACAATCCAGTCTCCAATTGGGCAAAACACATATATATACTCGACATAATTCCTAGCCAGTATATTATTTCTACAAATGCTATGACAAGACCGCAACACGTAAAAAATTCCAAATTTGGAGTACCTGCATCTCGACCATATGACCAAAACAACACACTTCCACTTCAAAAATATAATTTCAAGACTCCTGTTTCTGGCTCGAGTTCTAACCAAATAATTTGCTTTGTTTAAAATTCCAAATGCACAGTTAAAATAAATTAATAATTGTTCAAAGACTTCAATCCGTTTTTACTTTCCTTGGTAGCAATAAAAGTAGTGCCTTGACTCTTTCGTATGCACAGTGCCACAAATGGAAACAATTACTCCTCCAGATGCCACCGTGTATTTATCTGCGTGCAGCGGTTTTCTGAATCAAGTAAAACGTGTAAGCCAACTGGAGAAGCGTGATGAAAAGCAAAAATATACTACAGTGCTTTTAATATATAAAAGACACCTATATTTTTCAGAAAATGTTTCCCATAAAAACAATAAAGAACTTTCAGATATATCCAACATTATACATTTCAAAAACTTACCAAAAATATTTATAAGGTATTTTCAACTATTTTGTAAGTGTAAGACTTTGGAAAAGGATCTCTTTGATTTTAGGGCAACCTTAATAAGTATAACTAAGAAACAAAAGTGTTAATTTATATTTTGAATGGCCTTAAAACAGAAAACAATCGACTTTTCAATAAGTTATTTCAAGATAAATCAATTCTAAACGTATATATTTGAAATTGTCTAGGGTCGAGAGGGTATATTAGATACATATGTGCAAAGTATGTAACAGGCACAAGGAACCCTAACCAACCCCAGGTACATATATATATAGAAATGGATTTAAACCTGTCTGGACGAACGAATGGATTTCGGAAACGGCAGAGCCCATATTAACCAAACTGTGTATGTAACTCAAAATTTTCTTGATTTTCATATATGGACATATGATTTTCATATTTCAGATGCTCCAAGTAGATTTTGCGGTTGGACCAAGCAAGCGTCACTGTTTATAGTAACACTATTTATGGTAAAACAATCAACTCGAATGTTCTTTTAAATGTTATTATAAGGATGGTCGTTTTTCTGGAGCTAATGTTTTTATAATATTAGTTTGGTTCTATATATGTACATACATACATATAACAACCATCGTATACATCGGTGTACTGAAGCTTTAAGTGCTTTCATTTGGAACTACATATTATTTGTCTACTTTTTAAAATGGTCGCTCTGACAACTAATTTTACTAATCTTTAATTATTCCACAAAATTAAATTCAGCACAAAAATGAGCAGAATGCGAAAAGGGTATACAAAACGAGATAATTCGATTTAGTCTTGATATCTATACGATCCCTGTCCTGTTTGCGCCCATTCCCCTGCATCAGCATTTCATAATTCTAAAGGTAGATAAGCTCAACTTTGCATTCTGAATTCTTATATTTCTTATACTTAAAAATTTTAATTAAACAAGGTTATGTCCTACAAACATCATCACCGGGTTCGCCCGTGTTATCTTTACTTCTACTGTAAGCCGTTATAGGAATGCATATATGTAAATGGTAGGGGAATTTAGTTTTGTTACAGGGTGCTTCATTGTCGACCTTGCAATTACTATGTTATTCACTGTGAATGACAAAAAAAATGCAACACAAAGCTCAGATAGAACTGTAAATCTTAATGCTACCTGTTTATTTTGAACAAAAATCGAATTCAATAAACACAAACATGACAAAATTGTTGCAGCGCATTGAGGTTACGTTGAGGAGCTTCTACATATTCAATTCCAGCTATGGCCAGACGGAAGGAGAGGTTAGTATGGGGAAGTGTGATAAATATGACGACATACGCCCACTAAAGTAAAAGTATTTACGTACATAGGAATACAAGAAAATTCTTTATTACCATCCCAACGATATTGAGTTAAACACCAAAATCAAAGATGTTGGACTGAGCGAGGCCATTATAACATTTACCAGGTGCGTTTTGTATCCACCGCCCGAAAGTTACATACATACATATGTATATTATTTTAGTTTTCTCTCTGACTTACAGAACATTCACATCCGACGATGATTGCAAGGCGCTCCACACACAGAAAACGACGCAATTGTTCTATCAACCCGAGCCCGGATTCTGGCTAGTGCTGGTGCTTAATGTACCCAAGGAGATTAAGTCCAAGGATGGCATTGAAGTGGCCGAGTACCGAGGCAGTGAAGTTTGCGATCGCATTTATCACTCTGTGCTCCGGCAATTCTACTACATTTACCGCTTCCAATACGGCACATTACAGGACAACGCGTTAGCACTTAATGGAGATGCCGTACAGCTGGCCAAAAAAATCCAGGAATTCTTTGATAAGATTATAGCCACACGCCAGCAACTAGCACCCTGTGATATTATAGATATGTTACATTCAATTCAGTACCTCCCACTAGGTAAGGCGCTCTTCTTGCGAGCCCATAACTTCAGCAGAATGCTGAGTGCAACGTTCCCCGTTTTAAAAGAGTGCATTATGCTGCACAATGACTTGGTGGTATGTGGAGGAAAACTGAGCTCTGTCGATTTATATAGTTTACACGCTTACATTCTGGACAATGTCTTGGAGTCGTGTTCAGCGCCAGTGCTAGCTCGAAGTAGTAGTCCTAGTGGGAGCAGCGACAATTACCAGAAGGGTGGATTTGTGAATAACGTACCTGATGAACCGCCACTTAAAGTTCAAGTAACATTGGACGCGGATTTAAAGCCGCACTATCTACTTATCTATCGCGTTTTGAATGTTACGCTGTGCCTCTTTATCGATGGTATGTAAATCAATTTAACTTCTGAATTCTTACATACATATGTATGTATCATCTTTTTTTTAACTTACAGCTGAGAACGCCCCTCCAAAGCATGAGTTCTATGATGATGTTCATACGTACATGGGTTCGCAGTTGATTTCTTTGGCCCGCGATATTGCCACTGAAGTGTCCAAACAAAACTTGGCTGCCCTTGCGCCCACCAGTAGCAACAGTACCACCGATTGCTCCCCTAAATATTTGTTCATCAACGAGCAGAGTCTTAAGCATCATACGAATGTAGACCGGCATGCCAAGGGGCAACAGAGTATTCCCCGCAACGTTATGAACCTTATTGCTGATTTGGCGAACGAGCCAACCAATATTGATGGCGCTGCTGCTGCCACCGAGGAGCTGCAGGTGAAAACCACCAATGACTTTTGGATAGTAAAGCGACGATGCAATTGGCGCCAGTACTACGTAATACTCTCTAATAGCAAAGCAACCCTGCTTGATGTTACGCAAGAAGCAAAGCGTATATTCGAACAAGAGCTCACAGATGATGTATTCTTTGACAAATAAAAAGAAGTAAAATATAGATAAAGGGAGTTCTCCAATTATAGGGCCGCGTATGCCGTTCCTGCGAATGCCTCAAACAAAAACGGCAACATGCGCTGTGCTCTCGTTTTCAAGCTAGCACGGTTGAACTGCTAGCGTTGTTGCCTTCGACAAACTCCGTGTCGTTGTATGTAGTCGAGGAGGGGGAACTGGTTGTTGCACCATTGCCACTGTGAGTTTTGCTCAACTTTACCACATAAATGCGTTTGTTCGACAAGCAAATACTATAACTGTGCTCCTCATAGTCAATTGTGATGCGTTCACAGCTACTGTTGGGCATGAAATTCTCATCAATACTGGAAGGAATAGATAATCGGATGCGTCATAAGAGAACTTAAAAAGGATCTGCATATACCCACCTTTCAGTCAGATTCAGTAAACCCATTATGACGTTTGCGCTGCGCTCATCATTTTTCAGCTCGCCGCCAGATTCAAGAACAGCTCCATCATCCTTTAGTATTAGATGTCCAATCTGGTTGGGGGGTGTAATCAGCTTTTCCATTTCTATAGCTTGAGCATCACTCAAAACAATTGTGCGTATTTGGTATTCACAGGGAACTAAAACTATAATAGCCATCTGGTAACACTGGCATATCACGGGAGCTCTCATCGCAAGTTGGCAGCACTAATTTTCACTCAACACCATTTTGTAAAGTGCTCTTTTTTGTGCGGATCGTAAGAAGTAATAAGCTGCACAAAATTAAAAATACATGTTGATAATCGATGTTATAATTGTCAAATTAAAAGTAAAACGACCACAAAAGTACCAAAGTGTAAGTTGCATTAAGTTTGGCGGGCATAGCTATCGTATGAATGGTATAAAGCACAATTTGAAAAACGGCTTGAGTGAAATTTTTTTCAGGTCAACGCCACACCCTCATGCAAACAATATATCCAATTTAAACGATAAAAATGCAAAAAAACAAATGAACAACTTTATTTAGTAACGATGATTAATTAATGAATGTTTAATTTACAAAACATGTTAGTACTTTGTGGTGAAAAGTGTGTGAAAACTGCAAAATCTTCTGCATGTGAAAAGTATCTATGTAGCTCCAATTAATGTATATGCTATTTGAGTGTGTTGGTTCAGGCAGTAGAAAAAGTCAATACTGTGTGCCTATGTGTACGTCATCGGGTGGTGTTTTGCGGCAACTTCAGGCTGGTGCGAGAGAAAGTGAGAGAGCATCTATCTTGCCCGTGTGCTTATGTGTGTGAATGTTTATATGAGTGACACTCAATTTTATTTGCCTATTTGTCCAAACCTATACGTCTATGCCGGATTCCTTACATTGTCCTTGGCTTTGGCTTCAATTTATGTACGAAGGACATTTTAATGCAAAGCGGATGGGTGGAAATCATTATTAAATGAATTAAAGAATAAAGTTATCGATTGCGCATTTTGGTGTATGCATTTCTTAAATTTTGAAATCGGGACGTGAACTTAGGGCTTTTTTCAAATTCGAGTTAAGTAAGCAAGTTGTCATTGCTCATAATTCCAAGCACCGTGCATTACGTCATTCAGCTATTTCTGATAGACACTTCAATTAATGTAGCCTTTGCATGTGTTTGTGTGTATGAGAGTACACGCATTCCAAACAAAATTTCACGCTATGCTCTCTCACCGAATGCCGCTCTCTGGTTGTCATATTGTAGTTGTTATTGTTTGTACGTGATAAACAGTTAATTTGAATGTCAGTGTGTGTGTATCGGGAAACTTGTATGGCTGCTCCGAAACCCGGGCCTAGGCTATGTTTATTGAATTTCCTATTGTGTTTTTGGGGTGGCGGCAGCGACCTAAAATCGTTTATATTGGCTAGCGTGATTGAAAACTATTATTTAATTTGTATACTTACTGTTCTGTTCTGCTTGTGTGTTTGTTGATATTTTTAATCTCCACGCTCTTTCTCACCCTTTATCCTATGACTCTTTTAATTGCGATGGTGATGTCACTGATGGTCAATTAAAGTCGTTACATTTTCTTGCAACTAGTCTTGCTATATTGCTGCTTAATCATGTATTTAAGTATTTAAATTTGTGGTACATAATATAGTTAGTGTTAGTGGTTTTGGCTCTCTCTAGAGTAGATATTGAAATTTTTTGGAGTATTATTAATTGTACATACTCTAAAGCTACTTAAATTATTGAATATGATATACATACATATACATATGTATATACATATGTATGTAAAAAGAAAAAAATTCGAATATTTGTGTTATGATGCTTTATTGTTGCGGCCAGACAAACCTAATAAGTTAGTTAATTGCAATTTTAAATAAAATTATCTATTAAATTCTCTAATTGAACTAACCAACTGAACTAGCTAACTAAATATGTATGTTTAGCTCTTACATATTTGTAGTTTAAGTTTTTGCAGGTGACGTCACCTCTTTCAAAATTAAAGAAAATATATACATATATAGTGTAGCTTAAATGTCTACTATAATAATTAATCTTGATTTAGTTATTTTGATTACGTCCATTAGTGTTCAATCTGTGTGTATGTGTGAGCAAAGTGACGTCATATAATGCAGAAAACACAAAATAACAACTATGAAAACTCACAAACATGACAAAAACAAGCGTACAAGCAAAAATTCTTCTCTCATCTTCTGTTACAGGAAACGTTTGGTTGCCTGAACAGGAGAAGTGAGAGAGAAAATTGTTATGAAATAAATAAGAAAAATGTGCAACAAAAATAACTTTAACTTAATATAAACAAACAAAGTAAATATTAGAAAATGAGCACAATCGAAGAGCAAGAGCTTCAGCAATTGCTGAAAGACCTCGAAAATGTGCCGACCCCTCAGTTGCGACAGAGATTATTGAACCACTTCCAAAAACAGGATGAGCCGAGTTGTACATTAGAGGATTTTGCCATTTATTATCTGGCTGGACTGCGCCAATGCACTGAGGCACATTTTCGTAGCAGTGAAGAAGAGACGCCCAAATGCCAAACGCCAGTAAAGCAGATGAAGGCGGTTATAACTACTACGCCAAAAGTGACTGTCCAGAGCAACCGAAAACTGATTACGCCAGAATCTTCTAACACATGCAATCTTACCAATGAATCTCAACATAGTCTGAATAGCTCCTGTAACACTTCCACAACGTCTTCCGCATATCAGAGCAACCCATCCACACCAGCGTGTGGTACACCGAATCCACCCAATCATGGACGACGTTCACAAAGCCATTTTTGTAGCACACCTCAGAACAGCGAGCGGTCCAATCGCAGTGGTGGTGGTAATTCCAGTTTTTGTCTTGGAGACTTCATTGTCAACACACCTAACCAGCGGTCCAAGAAGAAGGCAACCCCCCAGCATCAGTCGCCAGGAACAACCCCACAGGAAACCTCAAACGCAGAAACTGTAAATAAACCCAGGCGACGTGTGTTACCCATGACCATCAGCAAGAATGTGTCGGGCTCTTCCTTTGGTGAGGTGCCTTTAGGAATCGGCACCAGTTCTTTTAGCAATGATTACAATCTCTGGCGCCTGTCCCAAAGCACCGAACTTGTCGATCGCAGTCAAAGTGCAGCACTGGATATGGAGGCACGGAAAACGCTGTTGCTACACAAGCAAGAAATCAAGATTGAGGCGCACATCGCAACAGACCGGCTACAAAATTTGGCACTGGCAACGCAAGAGCAGGAAGAATCAGAGTCCATTGCTGAGCTAACTGTGGACCCAATTGATTTAACAGATCTACCAAATTCTGCTCAATTGCAATTGCTCGCCGGCATATATGCCCAACTGATGGATCTCAATTTGATCCCAAATGTGCTTAGCGAGCTTTGCTTCACGCTGCAGCTGCTCAACATTCGAGAAGGAGTCTCGAATAGCTTTTCCCAAGAACCAGAATCGCCACTTGCTATTCTTTGTCAATACAAAAATTGTATCTATTTTGCAGCAAAGGTACTTGAGCTACAGCAATCGCTTCTTCTGCAGCTGGATCGCAAATCATTGGCCATGGTGTTGCAAAATGAGCGTCTACTGCTGTTACCCAAAAGCCAGCATGAAGAGTTGAATCTGGCCTGCCAACAAAAACAGCTTGAGCAACAGCAGCAGTTGATTGTCAGTGGCGATACAGGAGGTGTAAAAAATTCAAAATTAAATGTTTACTATCAACACGATAAAGATTCAAGGGATAACTTTCCCACCCAATCTGAATTTTCGGCATTTAAGAGCCAACGTGATCTGTTCTACAAAGCCTTTAAGTATTGGGAGCTTAATCACTTAAACCGAATTTTTAAATTTAGTTCTGAGGTGGCTCCCAAGATACGCGACATCTTTAAGCAATCGGAGCATGTCGTCAATATGGCACACTTTGCTAAACTTTTTGTAAGCCAGCTGCTAATTTCGGCCAGCGAGGCGACGGAATCACCGGAGGAACTGGGTCTCAAATTGGATCAGCTGCGTTTAAATCGCTTAGCCCAGCGTTTAGTGACAAGTAGTTCCAGCGTGGAGGACCAATTCCCCCGTACCCAGGCCTTCTTTTGTGACTTTATTAACGAGTGTGGCTCGATATCGTTCTTGGTGCAGCTCAAGCTGGCTCTCTATGCCCAGCTAATGCGATATAATAATTCCACATTCGAGTTGGTTCAATTAAATTTCGATAGTGGTGAAATAGATGTCCTAGGTGAACCAGATGAAAGTTCCGAACAGGTGCAGGGCCCGTATATTGTCCGTGTCTCGACAATGGCGTCCATGCTCATTTTGGCCAAATTTTTGGGTTATGTCACTGCATTGCCATACAATCGTCAAAATCCTGCAACTGTGTTGAATACAACTACGACAACGGCTTCCAACTGCTCCGACCTACAGCAGCTTCAACTGCGGAGTAATTTTCAGCCAGATTTTAATCTTAGCTCAGTGCTAGAGCGTGCTATGGGTGAAGGTAAGCTTTTGGTAACGCTTCCCTGGCTGGTTCAGTACGTCATCATGTTGGATGTTATCACAATACAGTTGCCTAACAACAAGGCAACAATGGAGCTTCTATATACGGTCTATGCTGAGGCAGCCAACCAGCGATGCCTCCAACCCACAGCTGAATTTGTGATACGCACCTGCATTGGCTGGCTCTTAGAATCTCATGCAACATTGACGAATAACTATTACAGCTATCGAAGACAGTGGTCCAGGGCTAGAAAAACGAACCCTCTGGTGTTGCAATGTCTAGAAATTCTTCACATTAAGGTGAAGTCATCGACGTGTCAGCAAGGCGGCGCAAGCAATTCGAATTTAAGCTCTAAAAATGGAGCTCCTTTATTAGAGTACTTGCTGCCTGTGTCCTGTCCTTTTCTGCCTGAGTTTCGCGTAGCTATTACCCCATCGAAACAAGTTCAAAGCACCTCACGCACTGGACGGTTCCGCTACATAACCACAAGACTTGAACAATTTAATTCAGTCAAAAGTCCAGTGCCCGAAGAAAGTCAAGCTAGCGAAAGAGACAATAACAAGATTACTCTGAGCTTGGTGGAGCCACAGCAGAGCAAATTGATTGACGCCTTTCTGCACTCCCAAAACGCAAGTATGCGGCGGCTGTTAGAATTCGTTACTGAGCGTAGTTTCAAGTGTGTGGTCAAGGATGCCCAACAGCAGATATTGCTGCCCTCTAAGGCGCAAGCAGATGGGCAGGTAAATGCTATCCGTTCCACGCAACAAATGGAAGTCTACAGGGATGTTAAACGCATCTATAGCGAGGCATGTCACAAGGCTTGCGACCAATGGCAGGAGCAAGTGCCGGCTATGCTGGAGAGACGAATTCAAAAGTCGCTGAACTCATTACTTCCTTCAAATACAAGCGACGTGTTGCAACGCACCTACGCCAAATTGATTCGAGCTCAGGCTCAGCCCCAGCTTCAACAATGGCTGCAGTCCAACGTCTTGCAATCTAATTTTTACTACAGCGATCTACAGGAAGTGGCGATTAAGGTGTGCCGGGCAAACAAGAATAATACGGGATCTATGCCGTCCAATTCGAACTCCTCCACAGAACTTTGCTTGAGCGGTGATGGAAATATCAGTCTTTCCGATTTCCTGTACCATTTGCAAACGTGGTTGCACTGTCTCAGCTTGAGGCCCAAATGTCTGGCAGGATGTGTGGATATTCTGGATTTATTAAGGAATGCGCACCAAGCTGTCCTGCAGTCCCAGCTTCCTACAGTTTTTTACTACCTAGTTGGATCAGGATTGGTGCGTCTGCTACAACTATTCATTGTCAGGCGTCCGCAGTTACTAACCCCTACGTTCATGTCTATGGCTTGTGATGTGTGGCGTGCCCCACAATTAAAAAAACTAATTCATCGGCCAGAGACGAAAGCCGAGCAACAGGGTAATCCTGGAATATTTGACGCACTGCTAAGCGTTAGCTTTGTGCAAGAGCTAAGCATGGCCCATCCCTCATCGTTCCAGTTGCTGCAGGAGTTACTACTGGCCATGTTGACGACCGGTGTACTCCACATTGAGCTACTTAACGAGTTCTTTTTGCCGCTTTTTAAGGAGGAATGGGCGCCACCCATTTGGAACGCGCTCTCCCAACTTTTGCAGCAGGTGGCGCAATATCGCGTAGCTGGTGGAGATGGCATTGGAGAAACCCCAACCGCCATACCTGCGAGCGCCGAGGAAGAGGCCAAGTCACATTTGTTCATGGAAGCTTTAGCTGATTTATCGCGAGATGTGGACTTTTAATTATGATTGTTAGTCGTACCTAAACTTAAGTGCACATTCTTATGCTGTTTATGTCATTCTTAATAAGTATTCGATGTATTTTTTAGCTTTCTGCTTTCGTGTACTCAGTGTGTGTGAATAAAGCGCTATTTTTGCAAAATATGTCTACTTTATGTATCCGGGCCATGTAGGACGATAAGATAAACATTGCTAATCAGCAGAGGAGGTTTGTTATTGAAGGGGTCAGTGCGTCATCGTCAAACGCTATTGGAAGGCGGCATAGTTGATGCTTCACCACAAGCTCGCACTGAAAATGCGCTCAGTGTTCAACGAGGTCACCGGCGACAACGACCACGACGATAACGAGCTCGGAACCACGCCTGTAGTATGAGTTAGAAGCAAGTGCGTATGGGACGTATGTGTGTGTTTTTGTCGATATTCATATACATATATACATATATATACTCGTACATACTCTATGTATATATGTTGGAGCTCTTGTGTGTGTGCTACTTTTGAATGGGGGCTTTGATTATGCAACCAAGTTGGCGTTTTTGAGCTAATTGAAATGAATTATCTACATTTGCAGCTACAAACAAAAAGATAACTTTGGACGCAAGCGCAAAATTGATGAGCGAGCAACAGTATTAAAACTAAATTTAGCTATTGAGGCAGCGTTGGGAGCGTGAGAAATTAAGGTAAGTTCGACGTGACATGAGTACGATTACCTCAAATACTCTCACCAAATAAACTGAAATCTCGTCGGCTATATGATACAATATACTAGTATGATATTTTCTATGGAGTATTACCTCACAGATTAACTAATATAAATTAATAATCATGATTACGTAATGTTTTATAACTGAATTAAACATTTCAAAAGTACAACATAATTTTGAAATATTTGCTTCGTTACTTAGCTCTCTTACAAATATGAGAAAAGTTCTTGCAGAACTCTTTGTAAGTTTATTAAACAGACAGACGGATATGATCGGGACAGCTCCTTATATTAATAGTGTCAGCAATTAATAAATATCGGTAAAAATGTTGGAGCACATATATACGTAACGTATAAGTCCAAGTAAAAATTTGAATGATGTCAGATCCTGAATTTTTCATAATTATCATATTCTAAATGCATTGGGAATATGTATTTAACAACTTTATTTTGTGTAGTAATTTTTTAAATAGTCATTTAATAAACATGGGGACCAAAAAAAGTTCAATTACTGAACAATATTTAATTGGATGTTTGAGTAAATCGATAAATAGGGTACTTTGTAAATTATTTTGTTTTTTGATAAGCATCATATATTAGTATAAATTAAGAAGCGCCAAGACTTACCTAATGTTTGTTTTTTCTTTGCAGCTTTACAAAACTGAAACGAACGAAAAGAGGTAAACACTAGACGACCGCAACATGGAGAATTTCACTCCGAAGGAGGTGAAAATCCTCGAGACTGTCGAGGATATACAAGAGCGCCGTGAGCAAGTGCTCTCGCGGTACAATGAATTTAAGATCGAAACACGCCAAAAGCGCGAGAAGCTCGAGGACTCGCGTCGCTTTCAGTATTTTAAGCGCGATGCTGATGAACTTGAGTCTTGGATACACGAGAAATTGCAAGCGGCCAGCGAGGAGAGTTACCGCGATCCAACTAACTTGCAGGCCAAGATACAGAAACATCAAGCTTTTGAAGCAGAGGTGTCGGCCCATAGCAATGCCATTGTCTCGCTAGACAATACTGGCCAGGAAATGATCAATCAGCAGCACTTTGCCTCTGAGACTATTCAGCGCCGTCTGGATGAGCTGCATCAGCTCTGGGAGCTCCTGCTGAGCCGCTTAGCGGAGAAGGGCCTTAAGCTGCAACAGGCTTTGGTCTTGGTGCAGTTTTTGCGTCAGTGCGAAGAGGTCATGTTTTGGATCAAGGACAAGGAAACTTTTGTCACTGCCGATGAGTTTGGACAGGATTTGGAGCATGTCGAGGTATTACAACGCAAGTTCGATGAGTTCCAGAAAGACATGGCCTCGCAGGAGTATCGCGTTACCGAGGTGAATCAGCTGGCCGATAAACTGATCCAAGATGGGCACCCCGAGCGTGACACAATCACCAAACGCAAGGAGGAGCTCAACGAGGCCTGGCAGCGCCTAAAACAGCTGGCCATTGTCCGTCAGGAGAAGCTGTTCGGAGCGCATGAAATTCAGCGCTTTAACCGCGATGCCGATGAAACTGTCGCCTGGATAGCCGAAAAGGATGTAGTACTATCATCGGACGACTATGGACGCGATTTAGCTAGCGTACAGGCCTTGCAACGCAAGCACGAAGGAGTCGAGCGCGATCTTGCTGCATTAGAAGACAAGGTTTCGACACTGGGAGCTGAGGCGCAGCGTCTGTGCTCCATACATGCCGATCATAGTGATCAAATACGCGACAAGCAGGCTGAAATTGCCAACTATTGGCAGAGTTTGACAGCGAAGGCCCGTGAGCGCAAACAAAAGTTGGATGAATCCTACTATTTGCATCGCTTTTTGGCCGATTTCCGTGACTTAGTTTCTTGGATAAATGGCATGAAGGCAGTTATTTCTGCCGATGAATTGGCTAAAGATGTGGCGGGTGCTGAAGCACTGCTGGAGCGTCATCAAGAGCACAAAGGCGAGATAGATGCGCGCGAGGATAGTTTCAAGCTGACTACAGAGTCGGGTCAAAAGCTGTTGGAGCGAGAACATTACGCTGCCGCTGAAATTCAAGAGAAGCTGGCGGCGCTTGAGAATGACAAGAGCTCGTTGCTTTCGCTTTGGGAAGACCGCCGCATTTTGTATGAGCAGTGCATGGACTTGCAGCTTTTCTATCGCGATACTGAACAGGCTGACACTTGGATGGCCAAACAGGAGGCTTTCTTGGCCAACGAGGATTTGGGTGACTCACTGGACTCTGTAGAGGCATTGATCAAGAAACACGAAGACTTCGAGAAGAGTCTGGCCGCACAGGAAGAAAAGATCAAGGCATTAGACATTTTTGCAACTAAACTTATCGACGGTCAGCACTATGCCGCTGATGATGTAGCTCAACGACGTCAAATGCTTTTGGCTCGTCGTGCGGCTCTGCAGGAAAAGTCCGCAAAGCGTCGTCAGCTACTTGAAGACTCGAATCGTTATCAGCAATTCGAACGTGATTGTGACGAAACCAAGGGCTGGATCAGTGAAAAGTTGAAGTTCGCAACCGATGACAGCTATCTAGATCCAACCAATCTTAATGGCAAGATGCAAAAACACCAAAACTTCGAGCACGAGTTGAATGCAAATAAGTCGCGAATTGAGGATATCACAAATGTGGGTACCGAATTGATCGAGAAGAAGCACTATGCGGCTGATCAAATCAACACACGCATGCAGGAGATCGTTGTATTGTGGGAGACCCTTGTGCAGGCTTCCGACAAGAAGGGCTGCAAGCTGAACGAGGCCTGCCAGCAGCAGCAATTTAATCGCACTATCGAAGATATTGAACTTTGGCTCAGCGAAATCGAAGGCCAACTGCTGTCTGAAGATCATGGCAAGGATTTAACTTCGGTGCAAAATCTGCAAAAGAAGCACGCGTTGCTTGAGGCCGATGTAATGGCTCATCAGGATCGCATTGAAAGCATCAAGGTGGCAGCAAATAAGTTCATTGAGTCGGGCCACTTCGATGCGGACAACATTCGCAATAAGGAAGGAAATCTGTCGGCACGCTATGCCGCACTAGCCGCCCCCATGGGTGAGCGGAAGCAACACCTCTTGGACTCACTGCAGGTGCAACAGCTTTTCCGTGACTTAGAGGACGAAGCAGCTTGGATACGCGAGAAAGAGCCCATTGCCGCATCCACAAATCGTGGTCGTGACTTGATTGGAGTGCAGAACTTAATTAAGAAACACCAGGCTGTACTTGCTGAAATCAACAACCACGAGGCACGCTTGCTTAATGTCATCAGCTCGGGCGAGAATATGCTAAAGGATCAGCCATTTGCCAGCGACGATATTCGTCAGCGCCTGGATGCATTGCAAGAGCAATGGAACACTCTTAAAGAGAAGTCGAATCAGCGAAAGCAGGATCTGGATGATTCACTACAGGCGCATCAGTACTTTGCCGATGCCAATGAGGCTGAATCCTGGATGCGTGAAAAGGAGCCCATTGCAACCGGAAGTGACTACGGCAAGGATGAGGATTCCTCGGAGGCCCTGCTAAAGAAGCACGAGGCATTGGTGTCTGATTTGGAGGCATTTGGCAACACCATTCAGGCTCTACAGGAGCAGGCTAAGAACTGCCGTCAACAAGAGACGCCTGTCGTCGACATCACCGGTAAGGAGTGCGTGGTCGCGCTCTATGACTACACTGAGAAGTCTCCGCGTGAGGTGTCAATGAAGAAGGGCGACGTGCTGACACTTTTGAACTCAAACAACAAGGATTGGTGGAAAGTGGAGGTGAATGATCGTCAGGGCTTTGTACCGGCTGCCTACATCAAGAAGATCGAGGCTGGTCTTAGCGCCTCGCAGCAAAACTTGGTCGACAACCATTCGATCGCCAAGCGCCAGAACCAAATTAACTCGCAGTATGACAACCTATTAGCTTTGGCACGTGAGCGCCAAAACAAGTTGAACGAAACCGTCAAAGCCTATGTCCTTGTACGTGAGGCCGCCGATTTGGCGCAATGGATACGCGACAAAGAAAACCATGCCCAAATTGCCGATGTTGTGGGCGAAGATTTGGAAGAGGTCGAGGTGTTGCAAAAGAAGTTCGATGATTTCAACGACGATCTTAAGGCTAACGAGGTGCGTCTGGCTAATATGAACGAGATTGCCGTGCAGCTAACATCTTTGGGACAAACCGAGGCGGCTCTAAAGATCCAAACACAAATGCAGGATCTCAATGAGAAGTGGAACAATTTGCAAACGCTGACAGCCGAGAAGGCCAGCCAATTGGGTTCAGCCCATGAAGTGCAGCGCTTCCATCGTGACATTGATGAGACTAAAGATTGGATTGATGAGAAGGCCAATGCCTTGAACAATGATGATCTGGGAAAGGATTTGCGTAGTGTGCAGACATTGCAACGCAAGCACGAAGGCGTCGAACGTGATTTGGCCGCATTGCGTGACAAAATCCGTCAACTAGATGAGACTGCCAATCGCTTGATGCAATCTCATCCTGATACTGCAGAGCAAACCTATGCCAAGCAAAAGGAAATCAACGAGATGTGGGATCAGATTATAACCAAATCTACAGCTCGCAAAGAAAAGCTGCTTGACTCGTATGACTTGCAGCGCTTCCTAAGCGACTATCGTGATCTTTTGGCCTGGATTAACTCCATGATGAGTCTAGTGACCTCTGACGAGCTAGCCAATGATGTCACTGGCGCTGAAGCCTTAATTGAACGTCACCAGGTAGGTTAGGCGCATGTCGCCCCCTTGTTAATCAAATTTACCCGCTCCCTTTTTAGCTGATTGCCGTCTATCGATGTCTATAATATTCTGAATTTGTCTTCATTTCAATTTATCTTTATATTTGCGTTGTTACATTTTTGGTTTGGGGTGCGTCCATATCACGTCAACTACACATCCAAACTATTGATTCAAAACAAAACTCTGAACTAAACAATTCGTCGCCACCCACCGACTCATGACTTATGTATCCATACAATCGCATTGTGTCTCGCAGGCACATCGTTCCGAAATAGAGTTCACACTTGGTAATAGTGGCGTGAGCGCTTTGCCACTACCCACAACATCGACATCACCATCCAGCGACGAGGTAGTTGTTCGTACATTCTCATCATAAAATAATGTTTTTGTTTGTGCTCTCTACTACTTACGATTTTTTTGTGTCTATGTTCGTTTGTGTTTCACACCACCCTCTCAATCCTATATGTTGATCTTAATCATCAAACTTTCATTGTTTCGTCTCATACATTGTAAAATAAGTTTCCAGGTGTTGCCTACATGTGCTCATTTGCTTTTACTAGAAAAAATAAGATCTACTTGTAATATGCGTAGGCGGCTCTCAAAAACCACTGTTTCAATAGGACATAATTCAGTTTTCATGTTTTTCTGCTTCTGTTAAAGATAAATTTCTCATCAACTTTGGATAATTGTAATTATCTTCTTGTATTCCGTATTCCTGTTTTAAAGTAAGAACAAAGCTTAAGAAAAGATATAGCCGATCAAGTTATGTGTACATATTTAACTTTAATACAAATATTCTCTTTGTAAGCCTAACTGACGATTTGGGTCCACACTACACTCGAATGTTATCATTAATGTTATTTCCACTATGTCCTAAATCTTGTGTGCAAATCTCTATGACACTGTATAATTGGAATCGTGCAATTTGTGTGTTAACTAAAATCGCTGCTTGTCGCCCATTGATCTCAGTAAAGAATCTCATTATCAAGCACCCATTGTACTACACACATCAATCATCCTGCGGAAATGCTCAGCTTCAAGTAGCTTTACACATTTTCAACGTTCGTTTTTGATTAATTCGGCGCAATAACAACAATTTGATCGCGACACCTAACATCAGTTACCGTGTTATTCTAACCAAGGACCTGTATCTTAACTTAGTATGACCTACTGACTAATCCAAAATCTATTCCGAAACACAATAGGAACACCGCACGGAAATCGATGCACGTGCTGGAACCTTTGGGGCTTTTGAGCAGTTCGGAAACGAGCTATTGCAAGCCAATCACTACGCCTCTCCCGAAATCAGGGAGAAAATCGAGGATCTGGCAAAAGCACGGGAAGATTTGGAGAAGGCTTGGACTGAGCGTCGCTTGCAGTTGGAGCAAAATTTGGATTTGCAACTGTACATGCGCGATTGTGAGCTGGCGGAGTCATGGATGTCAGCCCGTGAGGCTTTCCTCAATGCCGACGACGATGACAAGGGTGGTAATGTGGAAGCCTTGATCAAGAAACATGAAGATTTCGACAAGGCTATTAATGGACACGAGCAGAAGATAGCCGCCTTGCAAACAGTGGCTGATCAACTGATTGCCCAAAATCATTATGCATCCAATTTAGTCGATGATAAGCGCAAGCAGGTGCTCGAGCGCTGGCGACATCTTAAGGAGGGTCTCATTGAGAAACGCTCCCGTCTTGGTGACGAGCAGACTCTGCAGCAATTCTCACGCGATGCAGATGAGATTGAAAACTGGATTGCCGAGAAGCTGCAGCTGGCCACTGAAGAGAGCTACAAGGATCCGGCAAACATACAATCCAAGCATCAGAAGCATCAGGCCTTCGAGGCAGAGTTGGCGGCCAATGCCGATCGTATTCAGAGTGTGCTTGCCATGGGCGGTAATTTGATTGACAAGAAACAGTGCAGTGGCTCCGAGGATGCTGTGCAGAAACGCTTGACGCAAATCGCTGATCAGTGGGAATATCTGACTCATAAGACGACTGAAAAGTCGCTTAAGTTGAAGGAGGCCAACAAGCAGCGCACATATATCGCTGCTGTCAAGGATTTGGACTTCTGGTTGGGCGAGGTCGAGAGTTTATTGACCACTGAGGATTCTGGTAAGGATTTGGCTTCAGTCCAAAACCTCATGAAGAAACATCAGTTGGTCGAGGCGGATATCGTGGCGCACGAAGACCGCATCAAGGACATGAACAACCAGGCCGATTCCTTGGTCGAGAGCGGTCAGTTCGATACTGCTGGCATCCAGGAAAAGCGTCAGAGCATTAATGAACGATACGAACGTATCTGTAATCTGGCCGCGCATAGACAGGCGCGTCTCAACGAGGCGCTAACATTGCATCAGTTCTTCCGCGACATTGCCGACGAGGAAAGCTGGATTAAGGAGAAAAAACTATTGGTGGGCTCCGATGATTATGGACGTGACTTGACAGGAGTGCAGAACTTAAAAAAGAAACACAAGCGTTTGGAAGCGGAATTGGCATCCCATGAGCCTGCTATTCAAGCTGTCCAGGAGGCTGGTGAGAAGCTCATGGATGTATCCAACCTGGGTGTACCAGAAATTGAGCAGCGTCTAAAGGCATTAAACCAAGCTTGGGCTGAACTAAAGAATCTGGCAGCTACACGCGGTCAAAAACTGGACGAATCATTAACTTATCAGCAGTTCTTGGCACAAGTCGAAGAAGAGGAGGCCTGGATAACCGAAAAACAACAACTTCTGTCCGTTGAGGACTATGGTGATTCCATGGCAGCCGTTCAAGGTCTATTGAAGAAGCACGATGCCTTCGAGACTGACTTTGCCGCCCACAAGGATCGCTGCTCGCTGATCTGTGACCAGGGAAGTGATCTGGTTGAAGCTAAAAACCACCACGCCGATTCGATTGCCCAACGTTGCCAGCAATTGCGCAACAAGCTTGAGAACTTAAATGCATTGGCTGCACGTCGTAAGGGAGCTCTATTAGACAACTCAGCCTATTTGCAATTCATGTGGAAGGCCGACGTGGTCGAGAGTTGGATCGATGACAAAGAGAACTATGTTCGCTCGGACGAGTACGGACGTGATTTGTCCACTGTGCAAACGCTTTTAACCAAGCAGGAGACATTCGATGCAGGTGAGTTTATAGCAGCCTAAACAAATTGTAGGTGTTGTGGCAACAAAATAATGCTATCATCTTTTTTTGTTGAAGGTCTCAATGCATTTGAACAGGAGGGCATACACAACATTACTGCACTAAAAGATCAACTTATTAATGCTAATCATGCGCAATCGCCGGCCATTTTGAAACGTCATGGAGATGTGATAGCTCGCTGGCAGAAGCTGCGCGACGCCTCCGATACGCGCAAACAACGTTTGCTCGCTATGCAGGAGCAATTCCGCCAAATCGAGGAACTCTACTTGACATTTGCCAAGAAAGCTTCGGCCTTCAATTCTTGGTTCGAAAATGCCGAAGAGGATCTTACTGATCCTGTTCGCTGCAATTCGATCGAAGAAATACGCGCCCTACGAGACGCACACGCACAATTCCAAGCGTCACTGTCATCGGCCGAAGCTGACTTTAAGGCATTGGCAGCACTCGACCAGAAGATCAAGAGCTTTAATGTTGGACCGAACCCATACACATGGTTCACCATGGAAGCTCTTGAGGAGACCTGGCGTAATCTGCAAAAGATCATAGAGGAACGCGATGGCGAACTTGCCAAAGAAGCCAAGCGTCAAGAGGAGAATGATAAATTGCGCAAGGAATTTGCCAAGCACGCGAATCTCTTCCATCAATGGCTGACCGAGACAAGGTGAGAATGCACCAATGTAGTTTTGGTCTACACAAAAGTTCTGTTAAGTGTAGGTGTTGGTTTTGCGTACCTCTTTGTCCCAACATCCCTTCACACACAGACACATCCATAATACCATGATTCCATTTTAAATGAAAACAATTCTTGTGGTCTCTTTCTCTGTGTCTACAAAAACAAAAATACCACTCCCAAATCCAATACATGAAAAGCGTAACTGAAACGTTCAATTCTATTTTTCTAGATATTATATGCTGGGTTATAATCGTCAAGGGTAATTAAGAAATGCCTAAAAAGGGCGCTACCAAGCCACCAGGCTCTGCGATTACCATTTCTTTTTCATTTATTTATTTTCTGTTGTGATTTTGTTATGCTTTATTACTTGACAGCAAACTTTGTCGTTGTCGCGTGTTTCAGATTGCTAAAAGCTAAGAAAGCAAACCCATTAACAGCTGCGTCGCCTTCACTAATCAAAAGTTAAATACTTTTGTTGTTGTTGTGAACAAACGTTTTGTAAATACTATCTAGGGAAACACGATATATAAAACAAACGTTTCCTTTTTAGTACGTATGTATTTAGTTGCAGTTGCATTTATAGAGTGCACAGGCAGTCGACACAGATCCATTTGGTGCAACGCGTGGTAGTAAAATATTCAATATTTTAGTCGCACGTATTGGATTTATATAACGGAAAATCAGCGTTTAATCGAATCTTTAACTGTTTTTATTACTTTAAATATTTTCAAAATTTTTATGAAATTTTTTGAGCAAATAATATTGAAATTCAGCATGTAAAGTGCGTACGTAGAAACAAAAAGAAACAATAAGTAGTAGAAAGCAATTTATAAATACTCGTAATTTTATAACAAAGCGTTTTCCTTTAAAAAAAAAAAAACTTCAGTAGCTTTTTGATTTATTATTACAAATACAATTTGCTGTTTTCCTTTCAACTCGCTTAATAGTATTAGTGAAATGCCGTCTTTTTTGGTTGCTGAAATCAATGAACAATGATTCGAAAGCTAATCACTAATTTATGTCCCGAACGCTATCGAAAATAACTATAACTATACATACGTTATACCCTTACACTCACCCCTAATTCGACAACTCTGTAAATATAAACAAGAAAGAAAAACAATCTAGTTTTACGCCAAACAAAAGAAAAGCTGCCGAATAACAGACCTCTAACAAGATTTGCTTTTCTTATGCATTAAATCATTGTGTAATGTTCAAAATTTCTTTTCATGCCCTAACTACTTACATATGTACATATGTATGCACTTCTTCTGTACCTTACTAATGATCAAATTTGTTTATTAAATCAATATTTACACTACGACTCATCGTGCTCTATAAAATAGAACATCCATGATGGAAGGATCTGGTTCACTAGAACAGCAACTGGAGGCTCTTCGCGTAAAGGCTACAGAAGTTCGCGCACGACGTGTCGATCTAAAGAAAATCGAAGAATTGGGCGCCTTGCTTGAGGAACATTTGATTTTGGACAATCGCTATACGGAACATTCGACAGTTGGCCTGGCCCAGCAATGGGATCAACTGGATCAGTTGTCAATGCGAATGCAACATAATTTGGAACAACAGATACAGGCACGTAACCATTCGGGCGTCTCCGAGGATTCTCTGAAGGAATTCTCAATGATGTTCAAGCACTTTGACAAGGATAAGAGCGGAAAACTGAACCATCAAGAGTTCAAATCTTGTCTGCGCGCGCTTGGCTACGATCTGCCCATGGTTGAAGAGGGACAGCCGGATCCAGAATTTGAAGCCATTCTCGACGTTGTCGATCCAAATCGCGATGGATACGTTTCCCTGCAAGAATACATTGCATTCATGATATCGAAAGAAACCGAGAATGTTCAATCCTACGAAGAAATCGAAAATGCCTTCCGCGCCATCACTGCCGCCGATCGACCCTACGTTACAAAGGAGGAACTCTACTGCGTAAGTTATACAATTAGTTTTGTGATTATATGATTCCATTCACACATTTTTATCTACAGAACCTCACCAAGGACATGGCGGACTATTGTGTACAACGCATGAAGCCATTCGCGGAACCGCGATCCGGTCAGCCCATTAAGGACGCTCTAGACTACATAGATTTTACACGAACGCTTTTTCAAAATTAAGCAGCGTGTTTAACGTTTGGAAACTTCACTGGCGCCTGAGAAAATTTCTTAACAAATAAAAATATATATTTACATACACGATTATTTTCGATAATTTTAGCAATTAAGTCAAGAGTTTTATGCTTATTTAAGAATGTATGCTTCTTTGAATTCAAAAGCAACATTGCAACAAACACTTAGCAATATTCATATTAAAAATCACTTTGTAGATTATGCATTTATTTTCCGGGAAGTATCTTAAATTTTTGCATTTCATTTTAACTTTGCGAAAGACTTTGGCACTCTTCATAGATATGAACAATAATGTTACACACATCAATAAATGGAAACAAAACTATTCTTGTCACGCCTAAATTGTAATCACCTATATGCCAACAATTGCGAATAAAAAATAGCTTTGCTTTTGAAAAAATACAAATATTATAACGCGATACATATAAATACTTATAAGCAAAACTTTTTTACGTCTTGTAATTGTTCAATGTTCGCAGTTTTTGAATGTTTGAGAATTAGCATAAATGAAATTGAAATACGAAAAATTTAAGATACCCAATAACCAGTCACTTAAATAGCAAAAATATTTAAAATATACAATCAACCAATGTCAGAATTGCAAAAAAATAAAAAATAAATATTGCTGCATGTCAAAAATGTTAAATTAATATAGTTCACATTTTTTATGCGTTTATTGGGGCTCCAAAATACACACCTTAGAATTTTCTGAATGGGAACACTATGAATCTGTAGATTAAAATAATATAAAAAAACTGATATGCATATAAAGGGTATATAAAACAACGTTTATTAAGATTCATATAATGGAAAACATTACAATTACAACAAAAACTTATTAATGCTCTCTACATAGGCAGAAGTTTTAAGCTTTTTGTTTAGGGCTTCTTTTGGCAGCCATTCAAATTTAACGGAAGGGATCTGCTTTTCGTCAACGTTACCGCCTCGCAAGGAGGCGCGGTAAAAGAACACTTTGGCACCAACACTGTTGTCGCGCTGGTCGCTGGGATATTTGTATTTATGGAAGCCGACGGGTGCATTGCCATAGAATTGAACCTGCAATTTGTCACCGCATTGTTCGCGAAGCACTCGCTCCGCAGTTTGCCGCATTGTCTCTCCTTCATGCCGCTGACCTTGTGGCAGTAAAAATATTGGCTTAGACCCCAGTTTTTGTTGAACCAATAAGTACAAGGTCTCCTCAAGAGCACGGTCCGTTGAGGTGACTTTGTTTGCAGCATCATTTGGAGTAGTGCGCGAGCCGAATTCAAACTTCTTCAGTTCCTCCGTGTGGGCATCTTTGAGATCTTGGGCCGTCTGTTTGGCAGCCGACTCATCTAAATCTACTTGCACCTTGCCCTTCTTAATAAGCTCAGCTTGCATCAGATCACGTTCGTGCTTCAGCTCGCTGTCAGACTTAAGGCTGTTTTCGAATTCAACTCGCCACAGCAAGTCCTGAAATTGGCGCTCCAGTGGGCTTAGCGATTTAGATATTACAGGCATACGTTCAACCAGAACACCGGCGTACAAGTCCCACTTCTCTTTAACGGCTGGGGCCACAGCTGTCGATTGTGAACGCCCCAGTTGTGTGCCAATTTGTGTGATACGGCGTAACATTTTTATAATATGCTAAATTTTATTGTAATTGAACAGATTACAAAACAAGTCGTTGCCCACAGCAGGGTTGCTTAAATTATCGTTATCGTTGCTATCGCTCAGTCGGTCAAGTCTCGAATGTTTGGCTAGCAATTTGCATCGTTTGTAATCATTTAAAAGTGCACCATGTCTGGTTTGGAATCGTATATTAACCACACAGTGTCAATAATTACAGCCGATGGACGAAATTTTATTGGCACCCTTAAGGGCTTTGACCAGACCACTAATATTATCATAGATGAATGCCACGAGCGCGTCTTCAGCACAACGGCAGGCATTGAACAAATTGTGCTAGGTTTACATATCATACGCGGTGACAACATAGCTGTAATTGGATTAATAGACGAGGCCATAGATTCACGTTTGGATCTGCAGAATATACGCGGTGAGCCGCTGGGTCCGGTCGTGCACTGATATGTTTAAAAATAAAATGCGTATGCATAAGTACATATAAAAATGCGTAACTTTCTTTAATACCAGCTCATTTAACTACCATCTACATTAAAATCAATTTGACGACAATCAAGCGTGTCCAAATCCACTACTGCGACAGATTGCGTCTTGCTAAAGTTTGGCACACAGATCAGACGCGTTTGCTTTCCATCTGCGCCGACATGCAGTTCAGTTTCGAATGAGTCGCAATTGCCGGCAAAGTAAACATGGGGACATTCGTGCATTATAAAAGGGTCGTTGTCGGTGTATGGATAGCAGGCCAGTGTGTCAGGTGATGTTGGTGCTAGATGGCCCCACGTAAGGGTGCAACGTAGAGCTTGTAGCGAAGATTCCACCGAAGTACTACGTAGCAGATCGGCTACATTTTGACCGGCGGTGCCCACAACTAGCGCATCGTCGATTAGACAGGCATAGGGATTAGAAACCGCTTGAAACGAGGCAAGCTCCGAGGCCTGAGGAAACATGCATCTGTGAAAGGGCTGCTGGGGCAGCATAAAGTTTGCCGGATCATAGGCACCCGGCATGACGTCCACATTTAGTGCCTGAGCCCACGATGCGAACCAGCTGTCTAATTGAGTGACCGCCTGCACAGTATCATTGGCATTCGCTTGGTTACGAGCCACCTGAAGAGTGGGTACGTGAGCCACGGCGGTGCTGCGCACAGAATTACCCGCTACGATGAGTCTCAGCATAGACTTCGCGTCGGTGGAGTTTCCGAGACTGCCGCTCAACCAATACTGAAACATGTTTAGGGCATCGTAGTAGTTGTGCGCCTGTAGCTGATCCAAGCCTGAAACTAACACTAGAAGGCGGCTGTGTCCCCGTGTGGTTAGTGGCCTTTGGGGCCCACTTTCATGGTAGATTATTTCCTTTACATCAAAATGACCGTCGCTGTCGGTGTCACCCAGAACAGCGCAAACGACGCCAGTGGCCATTAGATGACCTTGCAGTTGATCTAATTGGAGGCGCACGCGTTGCAATTCATCCTCAAGAATAACCTTGTCCTCAGGCTCCGAATAGTTTTGCCGCTGTGGTTGAGGCGCCAGTTGGTTCTCCTCAGAGATATCACGCAGAATGCTAGGCTTGTGAGCTTGATGTTTGTAGATGGTACCAATGATAATGCATGTTATGTTCTGCTCCCCGCGCAATTCACAAAGTTTTTTGATTGGGTACTGCGAGCCCAACTTCTTTTGTATAATCGGCGTTAGTAGACGCGACATTTCTCCCAAACGGTGCGCATATAAATGGCAAAACTGTTTCTGGTAGTCGAACGATTTTACCAGAAATCTGCTGCTCAAGTTCTGATATGTGCACTCCAAACGTTCAGCCATGTTTTAAACTCAATTTATTTATATATTTTTATTTTGTGAGGCCGTGGGGCTTTTACGCGCCAACAAAAGAACAGAGTGGGAATCGTTATTGATATAAAATTTATCGATTGGAGGCCTAACCTTTGTGTAATCGTCAAAGAGGAAAACGCGACAGCAGCTGTGATACACAGATTTGGAGGCAAGAAGAAGAACAGGCTAAACGTAAGAAAAATCTTAAGTGGTCGAGGTCCATAAAAATATCTTGGAAATATGTTTAAAACCTATTTATTGCGTACAGGCACTTAAAAGTGGATGCGACTATGTAGCACTTGTACATGGTTAAATAATATGCAGTACATGGAGCGCTGTCAAGTGTTTAGTTGAGCAAATGTGCTAAAGTGCGTATTGATTTGTTTTAGACAGCTATTGTTTATTGGTCTGTACAACAATCTAAAACAAAAACTGCGTCGCAGCGACAAATATGCAGCCATAGCCACAGTATTGGCTAGCTGACAGCAACAACGATACAATCGAACGCGAGAGACAGACTGCCATGGGCGGGTCCGTAAGTCAAGTTTTTCGGTCAGGATCTGCTTTGCTCTCACATCGCGAGCACAAGGTGTCGAAGGCGACGGAAGAGAAGATACAAACGCTCTTCGAGATTTTAAGGGCCAATCCGAAAGTATCGCTACAAACACTCGAGAGTCTATTGGTTCAGATACCCAAGCATGAGAACATCTTGGTGATACACGATGACTGTGGTTACAACATATTGCAGCGTAGTGTGGGCCTGAACCACATCGATCTTACGAAATGGCTTCTGCATCGCCATCGTCCCGACGTTAACCGGGCGCCCTGCTCCCTGCCTTTGCACATTGCCTGCCTTAAGGGCTACGAGGAGTGTGTGGAGCTCTTGTTGCGCCATGGCGCTCGAATTGACGCGGACACTCGCATGTGCTTCCCTGGCGCACATTCACACAACTGCGAGGAAAGTGGGAAATGGCATGGAAATAATGTGGATGATGTAAGCGAGCGCTTGAATACCAAATTGCAAAACGCCCTATGTTATGCTATCGACGGTGATCAGTACAACGTGCTGAACATGCTAACACAAAAGATGGAGGAGCCATGGATACCGTTTCGCGCCAAGAAACCTCTACTGCATTTGGCATGCGAGCGAGGCGCCTGGAATTGCGTACAACAGCTGGTTGTCACGCGTTCCGAGGAGATAAACCTAATCATGGACGAATACGCTCCCATACATCATGCGGTACTGCATGATGGTCGTTTCCTTGAGCTACTCATCCAACATGGTGCCGTGACTACAGTACGTACATGTACGCAACAAATGACCCTGCTACATGTGGGTAAGTTCGAGTATACATATATGCCACAGCTTATTCAGGCGAAAAAACTTAATGGAATACAATTTTTTTTCAGTAATTTTTGCAGCCCGCAAATCTGCCGATGATACACTGGCGACACTGCGCATCTTGCTGGAGCGCGGCTGTAAAGAGCTCATAAATGCTCCCGATTCGCTGGGCAATACACCATTGCACGCTCTGATTGTTCGCTATGCGCTCGAGGAAGCGCGTTATGGGTACGACAAATGGAGCAAATGGGATGTTTTGCACCTGGTGCGCTTTCTGCTGCAAAATGGCGCCAAGCAATCCATTAATCAGGCAGGCAATAGCGCTATGGCCTGTGTCTTTCGTCATTTGCGCGACTGGGAAGTTTGCTATGAACTTCTGAACATGCTTATAAAAGAGGATGGTATGCAAATGCATAGTCATGCTTCAAATTGTCACTGCCACTAATAATATCATGTCGCACGCATAGGTGATCCCAACATTGTCGGAAGAGATGGCTCTGTACCAATTATGGTATTGTTGGTGCCATTGATAAACAAGGACCATTTGCATCATTTTACACATTCAATGAAGGTATATAAATGGCATATCAATTTTGAGGCCTAACTCATTGGTATTTTCCCTTCTTTTCCCTTGCCTACAGGTTTGTTACCTCAACTGCTTTCGCATTTTACTTGAGCACGGCGCGAATGCAAACTGTTCGTATCGTGCCAACCTCAAGCCTTTGCACGTACTCGTGTTTACCGTTAGTGAAAACTTTACGCTTAATTGTGATGCACAGAAGCGCACAAACTTTGACTTTATCAAGAACATATTGCTGCTGCTGCTGCAGCATGGCTTGGACTGTAATAAAACATATCAGCACATACTGCAGGCGGTTATGGATATGGTGCAGAATGTGCGCACCTGCCACGATATGCAATGTATTTATGAATTGACGTTGGTATTGATACAATATGGCGCCGATCCTAACATTGTGCTAAGCAGCAAGACAACGCCCGGTATTGCAATATTCTCGAGCGAAATCGCCAGTTATGGCGAGGCGTTGGGTGGTGGAGGTGCTGCTGCAGCACTTGGCGATAATACATTTCGCAACTCGTTTCGCACAAACTCACGCTATCTACTTTTTTACTACATTATATTGATAACGAAAAAAGAATTTATACTTAACGATCCGCATTTGACGTTTACGCGCATTATACATCTCTTCTATTTGACAATGCAGCATGAACCGCTCTATAATTGCCTCAAGTCCCTGCACAATTTCTATGTCGCCCAAGTGCCGAGCAAGAAAACTGAACAATTAATGGCTCTGATCTCGACGCTGTATCGCAAGCCGCGCAGTTTAAAGCAGCTAGCTCGTATGGCCATTTATGAGGCAGTAAATCGCAAACTGGCGCAAAACGTAAACCGTTTAAATTTACCTGGTCCTCTAAAAGAATACGTATTACAGTTCGAAAGATAACAAGTGGAGCAAATACAATCGCCAGCTGGAACAGTATCGTCGTCAATGTTAACTTTTTAACGACCAATGAACTCCAATTAGAGTCAATCATAATTGCAATTGGAATGTTGCCGTTCAATATTATATTTAATGCTGCAAATATATATAAATATATATATATATATATATATATATATATATATATATATATATATATATATATATATATATATATATCTTACTAAATATCTAGAATTATATTAAATTATACAACTAATACATATACCATTAAATATGTATTGTAGTTAATTACAAATAACAAAAAACAAAAAGAATATGAAAACGCTTAAACGTACCTAAAAGCATCGTAATAATCAAACACGTGCAATTTCTTTTATATGAAACTATTGTTGATAACGCTCATAAATGTTTGTAATCTTATTGAATACTTTTTATGCGTGCATCGTGAAGACCAATCTGGGTTTCTCTCGCGCCCTGTCGCACTTCTCTCATGCGCTGAGTTCTCGTCGTTATTTTATCTGCATAAACTTAAGGCTGTTTTTGATTAACAATTTAGTGATTTTTTTTGGAATACTTATATTTGAATGCAGTTTAAGAGAAGTTATAGATTCATTTTGTAATTATTGTTAATAACTACGATGAGCCGTTGCAAAGAGTTGTTATATAATTATGCCATTTTCGATTGAGTCAATAAAATAAAATGTTTACATCTGTATGTAACGATTTTTTCTGCGAAATTATGTGAATTATGTGGGGGTGTCCATTGATCCGTAACAACCAATGGCACTGGTAAACAACTCCAATTCAAATAAACAAAACGTCTCCGAACGAACCTAAAACCAAAAAATATATATGTACACAAACAGTTGCCTTAGCGACTGAAAAATTGGAAATTTTCAGGTAGAGATTGCTTAAAACACTGCATGTTGGTGGCTTAACTTAAATAAACCTACCTTCAGCGGCGCTATACTTAAACCACATATCGTCTAGGCCATCGGCGAAAATTGTGCACCATGTTCAGTCGCAAGCTGGAGCGGATGCATCGTCCGCCCGCAGACATATCAAAATATGATAATGAGCCGTACATGCAAAATCCTTTGCTCAAGTTTCGTATTTCTGATGTACACGAAAGACGCCATTACACCTTTCTCAAGCAAAAGGCGGCCGATATCAAAGTTAAGATAGCCAGAAATCATTGGCAACCGGAGCCGGACATGCGTCTGCTGCCACAATCGCATTACGTCGATAACTTGCGCCGTGAAGTACGTAAGATTGTGGTGCCTCCCATGCTGCGCAAGACCGAGGCCAAGATCCTGAGTTTTGCTTCAGAACGCCTGAAACGAAAGTATCCGGAGCTCGTAAGTGAATATATGAAGGAAGTGCACAATGAGTACGATAGACTGATGAAAATCTATAGCATGAAGAACATACTGCTGCATCCAGAGTTCTCTGACGAAGATCCCACAGCGTTTGATTTGCCGCGTACCGACTATCGCTTCAAGTTGCCTGGACGTACGGCCAATTATAAGACCTATCTGGAGAATCGACGAAAAATCGCGCAAAAGCTGCTTATACTTCAGATGCCCATGCGGGTTATCTTGAGCATATCGGTAGCTGAATTGCCGAAATTCGCTTGCGAATTCAATTACACTAGCAGTATGGGCGGTCAGCAACAGCAGCTTGGGTTGGGAGGGCGCGAGGTGCTCTCCTATAAATTTTATCGCAAGTTTATTCAAAACCAGCTGGATAAAGTCAGCACTTTTCTTCGCTGGAATTGGTATACAAAGTTGGGTTTGGTGCTACGTAAAATGATGCGAAAGCGTGTGATGCCCTCGTATATGTGGAAGCGCGCATATCCAGCACTGGAGGGTCTGATGAATCGCGAGTTGAACAATTTGAAAATACGGACATTCGAGGAAATGTTCCGTATTTGCGGTAGCACACGTACAATGCCAGTGTTTCGCATGGCATTGGAATTTAGTGAAATTACCGCTGACCTCGATATACGTCCGAATATTTATAACATATTGCGAACTTTTGCTGAAATCGCCACGGAAATTTCTATGCTTGGCTACCGCATGGAGGCCCTGCAGTCACAAGTAGATGCATCGGCATTATACACACAAAGTAACGATTATCTAAAAATCGAAATGAATGAAAACTACCTCAGGGAGGTTATTAATAAGGTTCAGAATATTATAATTAAAACATACAGCCAGCTAACCGAATACATTGAGCAATATCGTACTAAATATTTCAAGCTATACTCGTCGGATGAACGGGATGAGCTGACTCTCTTCTTGGAGGAACCGCACAAATTTGAGGAGTATTTTGAACGGATCGATGTTTATTACGAGTTTATCAATATGCTACGCAGCGAACCCCAAACAGACTACTTTGAGATTGCTGTTATAAGTAATGAACCGGCCATTGTTAGTTTACGTGGTCTGGCGGAAAGCCTGATAGCCATAATAACGGAAGTCGTTGTGCGTGAGCACATAAAGGCCGAGGAGGAGATCTGCGAAGAGTTCGAGAAAATTAAATTTAGGGCTCTGGAAATTCCCAAATCAACGGAGGAGTTGCTTGAGAGTGCCGACTATATGATCTATGTTAAAAAGGAGAAGATATTTGAGCTGACAGATCGTATTCAGTACTGCCTACAAGTGGGCACCAATATCGTAGAGCTGACGGAGATGTCTCAATATCACTTCGACTTAACCATCAAAACCATCAATTGGATAAAGGATATAAATGAGATATGTGATTATAATGCATCACAGCAGGAACATTACAAATTCTTGTTCGAAGAGCACTTGCAAGAGGTGGTCAAGAAATTGAACGAAGACATTGAACAGATTCTCCCGAAACTAGCCATAATTGATGATATGAGTCGGCCTGAGAAGTTCCGTGATTCCTACATAATATTACAGAATTTTATCGATCAGTTGAAAACTTTTGACGACTATGTGGCCTGGATAAACAAAGAAGAAAAATTGTTTAAAATAGCTCAGACCGAGTATCCAACATTGGAAGTAATTAAAGGCTTCGTCTACCCATTTGCAGAACTAATGAAGTACATAGAAATTATATTGTATGTGTATAATCGAACCATTTATTTACATTTATTGCTTGCAGATGCTGTATCGATTGGCAACGTTATTTAAATGTTTGGCAGGATGGGCCATTTGAGTATCTAGAGCCAAAGTTTGTGGAATCAACCACAGACAATTATCTGAAGGAATTTCAAAAGAACCAGAAGTATTATCGCATAAAAATTAAACAGGATCTTATTGAGAATCCTGTTTGCAAATTTAAGGTCGGTAAAGAGCTAATAATATATTTGTATAATACAAGTTTTCTTCTATCCACAGGGGCAAACCGAAGATCCTGACCCTGAAAAACACCCCGTACCACTGCGTTTATGCACTTCGATGATTCAATCAATTAAAGATTTTACCACGGGTGTTTTCATTGTCAACACAATGTGTAATCCGGCTTTACGTAAGCGTCATTGGAAAGAGATGTCTGAAATCGCCGGTTTTGATATAACTCCTGATGCCGGTACTACGCTGCGTAAGATTTTGAACGCAGGTCTTGACGATATATTGGACCAGTTCGAAATCATTAGCATAAGTGCAAATAAGGAGCTTCAACTATGGAATAGCTTGCAGGCTATGATTAAGGAATGGGAGAATAAGGTGTTCCCAACGGGTCCTTATAAGGAAACGGGAGTCACAATACTTTCCAGTTTAGATGATATACAGGCGCTACTTGACGATCATATACTGAAGACACTTGCCATGCGTGGATCCGCTTTCATGAAACCTTGTGAGGAGGAGGTGCGAGCGTGGTACGAGAAGATCATGAGAGTGAATGAAACACTTGACCAATGGGGCAAGGTACAAGCAAACTTTTTGTATCTATTGCCTATATTCTCGTCGAAAGACATTGTAGCCCAGATGCCGGAGGAGGGCCGGCTGTTTACTATTGTAGAGCAGACATATAATCGTAATATGGGCCTAGTATTGCGTCAACCGCTGGTCATGGAGACGGCACCTGCCGCTGGACTGCTTGAGTCTTTACAAAAAGCCAACGAATTGTTAGAGGACATTACAACAGGTGTAAGCAATTATTTGGAGAAGAAGCGACTGTTCTTTCCACGATTTTTCTTCTTGGCCAACGACGAAATGCTTGAAATTTTGTCAGAAACTAAGGATCCATTGCGTGTGCTTCCCCATCTGAGCAAATGCTTCGAAGGCATAAACAGCTTAGAGTTCGATGAAGCGAAGAATGTGCTGGCTATGTACAGTAGTGACAAAGAGAAGATCGATTTCATTGACGAGGTGTCGACTGCTGCGGCTGGTGGCAGTGTGGAAAAGTGGCTAATTGGAGTGGAAGATGAAATGCTCAAGGCAGTGCGTAATCAAAATGAGCTCTCATTCAATCACTATCCCAAGGTCAAGCGGCACGAGTGGGTGCTGCACTGGCCCCAGATGGTTGTGTTGGCCATTTCACAGGTATTTTGGGCATCGCGTGTTCACAGCTGCCTGCGTCGGACCTATGGAGGCAACCAGACGGTGATCACTAACTTCTTCCAAGACCTCACCAAGGAGCTTAACGACATTGTAGCCCTGGTGCGATCCACAAAAATTAGCAATTTAAATCGCATCACCATTAAATCGTTAATTGTGATCGATGTGCATGCAAAGGATGTGACAGAGGAGCTGATACGTCTGAAGATCAACAGCGAATACGATTTCCAGTGGCTTGCACAAATGCGCTACTACTGGGAGGATTCGAAGACCCTGGTCCGTATCATCAATGCTACTGTGCCATTTGCCAACGAGTATCTAGGCAATTCGGATCGTTTGGTGATCACGCCTCTGACCGATCGATGCTATCGTACACTAGTTGGCGCGTACCAGGTAATTACTTCCAACTCTTGTGTTTAAAAAAACTTAAAAAATATATTACGTTTTTAGCTTCATCTTAACGGAGCCCCAGAGGGCCCGGCGGGAACAGGCAAAACTGAGACGACAAAGGATTTGGCGAAGGCGCTGGCCGTACAGTGTAAGGTGTTCAACTGCTCGGATGGCTTGGATTACAAGGCAATGGGGAAGTTCTTCAAGGGACTTGCTTCTTGCGGTGCCTGGGCGTGTTTCGATGAGTTCAACCGTATTGAATTGGAGGTGTTGTCGGTGGTAGCTCAGCAAATCTTGCTTATTATACAGGCCGTGCGAGCCAACGTGACGAAGTTCATGTTTGAGGGGACGGAACTGTTGCTCAATCCGGCGGTATACGTATGTATCACGATGAATCCCGGATACGCAGGGCGCTCGGAATTGCCGGATAATTTAAAGGTGCTATTCCGTTCGGTAGCCATGATGGTGCCAGACTATGCCATGATTGGTGAAATATCCCTGTATTCGTACGGTTTTGTGGATGCTCGCAAATTAGCTGTGAAGATTGTGACCACATATCGGCTATGTTCAGAACAGTTGTCCAGCCAAAACCATTATGATTACGGTATGCGAGCGGTGAAAACTGTTCTCTCTGCGTGCGGCAATATTAAGAAACAATTTCCTGATGAGGTGGAAGATATTTTATTGCTGCGAAGTCTAATTGATGTGAATTTACCCAAATTTCTTTCCTTCGATGTACCACTCTTTGAGGGTATTATCTCGGATATCTTTCCCGGTATTAAGCTGCCCTACATTGATTACACTCTAATTGAAGCTGAGTTCTTACGCGTCTGCCAAGAGGAGGTGCTAGAGCCGGCGCAAAGTTTTCTTACAAAGGTAATTCAGACATACGAGATGATCATCGTACGGCATGGATTCATGTTAGTTGGTGAGCCCCTGGCGGGCAAGAGTAAAACTCTCCAAGTTTTGGCCAAGGTGATGTCAGCTCTTAAGATAAAGGCCCCGTCGAAGAGCAGCTACTTTCAGCACGTAGAAATGGGAATTATGAACCCCAAGTCAATAACAATGAATCAACTGTACGGCTCCTTTGATCCCATATCGTATGAATGGACGGATGGGCTCGTTGCAAAAATCTTTCGTGATTTTGCCATGACTCCAACGCCGGACCGCAAATGGGTATGCCACCATTAGATAACTTTAACTATTTATTGTAGTAATTACTTTATTAGGTGATTTTTGATGGACCTGTTGATGCAGTGTGGATTGAGAACATGAATACTGTGCTCGATGACAACAAGAAGCTCTGTTTGACCTCCGGTGAAGTGATCACAATGACGCACGAAATGTCAATGGTGTTTGAAGTAATGGATCTGGCCCAAGCCTCACCTGCCACTGTTTCACGTTGCGGAATGATCTACATGGAGCCCACGACCTTGGGCTGGCGCTCATTTGCAAATAGCTGGCTAAAAAAAGCAGACCCAAGATGGGCGGACGAGGAGAATATTGAGTATATGATGGCCATGTTGAAATGGCTGCTAGTGCCGGTAAGTCCAGAAAATGATGGCAATCCAATTTATTGTTCATATACTCTTTTGTAGTGTCAAACATTTGTGCGACGATACTGCACTCAGTATGTTAAGCCGGGAGAGTTCAACTGCCTGATGACTACATTCGACCTCATTGATATGCTTCTGGATGAGGCAATTGAGGAAAATCCAGAAGAATATCAAAAGTATATTCAGCAATATATACAAGCCTCCATTTTGTTCGCACTCGTTTGGGGCGTTGGGGGAGTCTTGGACACGTCTTCTCGCGAAAAGTTCGATGCTTTTTTAAGAAACGTGGGTAATGTAATTTGGCTAAATGAAAAGCCTTTAAATTTGTTTATTATCTAGATATATGATAGCGAAACATCAGAGCCTCCAGAATCGCTGGGAAAAATGGAAGTTACCCCCCCAATAGAAGGTCTCTTGGTTGACTATGTGTACGTGTTTAAGCAGCGCGGCACTTGGCGATATTGGCCAGAGCTGGCCAAGCGCATGGATGTGGAAGAAACCAAGTCAGGAGTGATTGTTCCTACAGTAGACACGGCACGGTATGTGCACCTCCTAAAAATGCATGTTCATCACAAGAAGCGTATGTTGCTGGTGGGTCCTACGGGTACCGGCAAAAGCGTTTATATCCAAAACTACCTCATGAATAAGCTTGACACCGAGGTGTACGAAACAGGATTTATTACCTTTACGGTAATGATTACAGCAAACCAGACGCAAGATCTGCTTATTTCGAAACTGGTGAAGTGGAAACGAGGCATTTATGGTCCGCCCAAAGGCATGGAGAGCGTGTTGTTCGTTGACGACATGAATATGCCGGTAAAGGAGCAATACGGCGCACAGCCTCCCTTGGAGCTACTGCGTCAATATTTTGATTATGGCCATGTGTACGATTTAAGGGACAGCTCCAAGATTTATATAAACAACGTTCTCATAATGTGTGCCTGTGGTCTGCCTGGTGGAAGTCGACAGGATGTTTATGCACGCTTCCTCAACCACTTCCACGTGTACTCCATTAATACGTTTAGCGATGACACCATGTTCCGTATATTCCTGAATGTCGCGCTAAATGGTTTCAGGCGTTCTGGACATGCTCAGGACGTCTATGTAGTTACAAATCAGATTATCAGCGCTACTCAGAGCATTTACAAAAGTGTGCAATCCGAAATTAGAGCCACGCCCGCCAAATCACATTATATTTTCAATCTGCGCGACATTTCACGCGTTGTTACCGGCTGTACGTTGGTGCGAAAGGAATCCGTAAACGACAAAAAGATACTAGTACGCGTGTGGTACCATGAAGCTATGCGCGTTTTTTACGACCGACTGGTTGATGAAACCGATCGCAAGTGGATGTTCGACAAGCTTAACGAATGTCTGAAGGCCAACTTTAAGGATAAGGTCGAGTCGATATTCGATCGGTATTGCACACAGGTGGGTGACGAGCAGGTATTTACCATTGAGGCGGCCAACCGTTTGTTCTTTGGTGTCTATTTTGACGAGGACAGTGTGCCGGACGAGCGTCGCTACGAGGAAGTGCCCAGCATGGAGGTGTTCTTTAAGCTGTCCATGGCCAGCCTCGATGACTACAACTCCACGCGCCGATCTAAAATGGATATCACGTTGTTTACATTTGCGCTACAGCATCTTAACCGCATCTGTCGCATTATCTCCATTCAGGGCGCAAGTGCCCTGCTAATCGGTCTTGGTGGTTCGGGAAGACAGTCCCTAACCAAGTTAGCCACCAACATGGTGCAAACATCATTCTTTCAGCCGGAAATTACCAAAAGCTATGGGCCCAACGAATGGCATGATGATGTTAAAATTATCCTCAAAGAGGCTGGTGGCAATAACAAGCACACCACATTCCTCATGACGGAAAACCAAATCAAAATGGAACTGTTTCTGCAGGACATCGATTGTCTGTTAAATCAGGGAGAGGTACCTAACATCTTTCCTATAGACGAGAAGCAGGAAGTGTTGGAAATGGTTCGTCTGGCCGCACAGGGCGGAAATCGCAATATTGACATTTCGCCACTGCAAGTCTTCTCATTTTTTGTGAATCGATGTAAACAAAAGCTGCATATGGTGCTTAGCTTTTCGCCCATTGGCGACGCGTTGCGCACACGAGTTCGGCTTTATCCATCGCTCGTGAACTGCTGCACCATCGATTGGTATGACAGTTGGCCAGAGGAGGCCCTCATGATGATAGCTAAAATGTCGCTTGTGGACGTTAATGTTCCCTCAGAGGAAATCAAGATGGCTATTGTGGACACCTGCCAATATTTCCACACAACCGCAGCAAAGGTCACGAGATCCTTCTGCCAGCTTTCGAATCGCTACATCTATCAGACAAATGCCTCCTTTATAGAACTTATTAGATCATTCCAAACGTTGATCAAGATGAAGCAGGAGGAGACCATGTTAGCTAAAATGCGTTATATTGGAGGCCTTGATACACTGGCCAATGCTGCGGCAGCAATCTCCATAATGCAACGTGATCTAGCGGCTTTGCAGCCCAAATTGGTGGCCTTGGCAGAGGCTTCGCGTAAAATGATGCTGGAAATCAACACGGAAACATTGGCAGCGAGCGCTGCTGCTGAGCAGGTGAAGCGAGATGAGGAGGTTGCATCAGTGCAGGCGGAGGCTGCGCAAGTGCTCAAGAACGAATGCGAGAAAGACTTGGCTAAGGCCATTCCTGTGCTGGAAGATGCCTTGGCCGCGCTTAACACTCTAAAACCAGCCGACATTACACTTGTAAAGTCGATGAAAAATCCGCCTCCGGTTATTAAACTGGTTATGGCGGCTGTTTGTGTTATTAAAGGGCTACCACCGGAACGTATTCCCGATCCGTCAACCGGCAAAATGGTCAATGATTACTGGGGACCCAGTAAGCGTGTACTAGGCGACATGAACTTCCTGCCCGCTCTCAAGGAGTTTGACAAGGATAATATACCGGTGGAAATTATGAAACGCATACGCAAAGAATTTATACCAAACAAAGATTTCGATCCCAAGGTAGTTGCAAAAGCGTCAAGTGCAGCCAAGGGCTTGTGCCAGTGGATTATTGCTATGGATCTATATGATAATGTGGCTAAGGTTGTGGCGCCAAAGAAGGCAAAACTGGCTGCCGCCGAAAAAGAGTATTCCGATACCATGAGTTTCCTGGCAGAGAAACGAGCCTTGGCCGCAGCGCTGGAGGAAAAAGTTGCCTTGCTAAACGTTGAGCTGGATAAGGCCAATGCCGAAATGAAAAAGACTGAGGATCATGCAGAGCTCTGCCGTAATAAGCTGTTGCGTGCGGAGGCCTTAATCGGCGGCTTGGGGGGTGAGAAGTCCCGCTGGAACCAGGCAGCCGAAGATTTACAGGACCTCTATGACCACTTACCCGGTGATGTGTTGATCTCTTGCGGCATCATAGCCTATTTGTCTGCTGTGAATCTGCAATTCCGCAGTGACTGCGTGCGCGATTGGTTCAAGAAATGTCAGACTCTGCAAATTCCCTGTTCAAAGACCTATTCCATTTCGGCAGTGCTTGGGCTTGAGGTCACTATACAGAACTGGCAACTGGATGGGTTACCTAACGATGAATTCTCTAGTGAAAATGCAATTATCTCGGCAAATTCTAGCCGATATAGCTTGTTCATAGATCCCCAAGGACAAGCGAATAACTGGCTGAAGAACATGGAGCGCAAGAACCGCCTTAACTGTGTCAAGTTTAATCAGGGCAACTATATGAAGGTCATTGCGGAGGCCATGGAGTACGGCACACCAATCATTATTGAAAACGTACAGGAGGAACTTGAAGTGCCACTTGATCCTATACTGATGCACCAGACATTCATTCAGGGTGGCGTAAAACACATCAGCTTGGGTGAGAATGTTGTGCCGGTCTCAGCAAACTTCCGGTTGTACATGACGTGCAATCTTCGAAATCCGCACTTTCTACCTGAAACCTTCAATAAGGTGACAGTTATTAATTTTGCACTAACACAAAACGCGCTCGAGGACCAATTGCTTAGCATTGTCGTAGCCAAAGAACGACCTGATCTTCAGGAATTGCGTATAACGCTCACCACAGAAGCAGCGGCGAACAAAGGAGCTTTGCGCGATGCAGAGAACATGATATTGAAAACATTGAGTTCGAGCGAAGGTGATATATTGGAAAATGAGGCGGCTATACAGATACTTGCCGAATCTAAAACGCTCTCAAAAGACATAGTGGAAAAGCAGGAGACGGCCAAGGAGACATCTGCCAAGATCGAGGCTTTTCGATTAAACTATAAGCCGGTAGCTGTGCACTCGTCTATTCTATATTATTCAATCACTGATCTGCCAAATATTGATCCCATGTACCAGTTCTCACTGAACTGGTATATAAACCTCTATATGTACTCCATTGAGACAGCAAACAAATCGAAAGATCTGCCACGTCGCATCAAATTTCTCGTCGATGGCTTTACGAAGAATCTGTATAGCAATGTCTGCCGATCTATTTTTGAGAAGGACAAGCTACTCTTCTCCTTCATTTTGACAGCACGAATTCTGCTGGGCACTGGCCAGATCGAAATGCGTCACCTTGGTCACTTAGTCACCAATGCGAAGGAGTCAACCAATGTACCTCCGAATCCCGATCCAAGCTGGATAACAGAGACGGTCTGGTTGAATGTACTTCGTTTGGAGGAGTTAAGGGAGCTGCGTGGCATTGTCGACGCCTTCAGAAAGGATCTACCAGCTTGGCAGGCCATTTATGACCATTCGTCGCCTGAGCTGCAACCTTTGCCAGCCCCATGGCATGATAAGACCACTGCTTTTGAAAAGATCATAGTGTTAAAAGCCATGCGACCAGACTCGGTTTTCCTGGCTGTGCGCAACTTTATAGCGGCTACTATAGGCGACCAATATGTGACACCTCCCGAATTCGATATCTCAAAGTCTTACGCCGATTCCACTGCGCTCACGCCTTTGATTTTTATTTTATCACCCGGCGCTGATCCTTTGGGCTCATTGCTGGCATTCGCGGAAAAAATGGGACAGGAGGAGACATTCCAGAGCATATCTTTGGGCCAGGGTCAGGGCCCAATTGCGGCTGGATTAATTAAGAACGCGCAGGAAATGGGATATTGGGTATGCCTGCAGAACTGCCATTTGGCTGCCTCGTGGATGCCAACCTTGGAGTATCTATGGGAGAACATGGATACGTTTAATACGACACGTACGTAAAAGCAGCTTTTAAGAAATGCTCTAATCTATTCTCCATTGCAGCAAACTTTCGAATGTGGTTGACTGCATATCCTACGCCTCAATTTCCTGTAACTATACTCCAAAATGGTGTAAAAATGACAAATGAGCCCCCAACGGGACTCAGAGAGAACCTCTCGCGCTCATACAACTCGGAACCGATTAACGAATATGAATTCTATACCGGCTGTGCCAAACAGGATCGCGCATTCACGCGCCTATTGTTTGGCATTTGTTTCTTCCATGCTGTTGTGCAAGAACGTCGAAAATATGGACCTCTGGGGTGGAACATTGCTTACGGTTTTAATGAGTCCGATTTGCAAATTTCCGTTCTACAGCTGCATGTACGTATAGTCGCACAAATTCGCGTTCACTTCCTGCTTATCCAGTGTATCCTCTCTCTCCCTCTCTCTCTTAGATGCTGCTAAATCAATATGAGCATGTGCCATATGAGGCAATCTCCTATTTGACGGCCGAGTGCAATTACGGAGGTAGAGTTACAGACAATTGGGATCGACGGGCTATAGTCACAATACTCGCGGACTATGTTAATCCCCAGGTGGTTGCCGATAATCGCTATCGTTTTGCCACAGACGACCGCTATATACTGCCGCGCAAGACGGAGCATCGGGAGATCCTGCGGTATTTAGAAGAAAACATACCATCTCTGGCCCCGCCGGAAGTTTACGGGTTGCACGCCAATTCTGGCATAACACGTGATCTGCAAACAACCAAGACACTGCTAGACTCCATGATATTATTGCTGGGTAGCGAAGCCGCGGGCACCGCAGGAGCTGGAATTAGTCCTGAGCAACAAGTACTGGAAACAATTAAACAAATTGAAAATGATATGCCGCCTGATATGGACATTGAGGCAGCAGCCGAGAAATATCCTGTCGACTACAATGAGTCCATGAATACGGTAGTTGTTCAAGAAATGGAAAGGTTTCTTAAGCTTCAAAAGGAAATTCGATCTTCTTGTCGCGACTTAGCTATGGCCATAAAGGGCATTATTGTAATGACACCAGAACTGGAAAATGTGATGACGGCTATGAAGTTCAACCGCATTCCAATTAAGTGGATGTCCAAGTCATACCCGTGCCTTAAGCCGCTGGGCTCTTACGTTCAGGATTTGTACAAGCGACTGAACTGGCTACATAATTGGCATCACCATGGAAAACCACCCACGTTCTGGCTATCGGGTTTCTTCTTCACCCAGGCTTTTCTCACCGGCGCCATGCAGAATTTTGCGCGTAAATATAGGATACCCATCGATACGCTGACCTTTGACTATGAGGTGCTAAAGGTAGACCACAAGTCGACACCACCTGACGATGGTGTGTACTGCAACGGTCTCTTTTTGGAAGGTGCGCGTTGGGAGTGGCACGACAATATGTTAGTAGAACAGTTTCCCAAGGTTCTTATCTACGCGATGCCCGTCATATACTTTAAGCCCGTTCTCATTCTGGATCTGCTGGAAGGAACACGGTATCGCTGCCCGCTCTACAAAACAGCTGAGCGCAAGGGAACACTCTCGACGACGGGTCATTCGACAAACTATGTGGTGCCACTGCTTTTAAATACACACGCGAAAGCAACGCATTGGGTGAAGCGTAGTGTTGCGCTTATCTGCCAAACCAACGACTGATGCGGTACACACTTTTTATTTATTCGTAATATAATAAGTGTGTTCACGTGTGTTTGTGTTTAGGAAACATTCTAAATAGCATTTGTGTTTACATAAATCGTGAAACATTTTGTATTATTACAGTAATCGGGGTTAATTCATTCACAGCTGTTCATCATCTATAAAAGAACTGAAATTTTCAAGAAAAATTGGGAGCACAGCAAATATATGCAGCATATGCAGCACTCCTCATTAAACAGAAATAAAAGATTAAAACTATTGGACAACTTAACAATTTGCTGGCGACTTTTCAAGTCGATCACGCCTAAAAGTTTAAATCTAAATTAACTTTGGATTGCTACTGCCTAACACTTATTGCGTGCGACAATGCAACGTCTCCAGATTGGGATCATCGTCTGTACCATCAGAACTGTTCCCATCTCGGTGTCTACCAACAATATTCGCACGAGCGTTCTCAGTGCCGGAGGTACGCTGGCTGTTGGCACTTTGACTGCTGCTATTCGTATTATTTTCCGGCTGCTGTCGATGCTCGTCTACTGATTCGGGATCAGCACGTTCGCGATTACGACGCGGACGCTCATAATCTGAGGGATTGCCTTGCAGAAACTGTCGTATAAAATAATGAAACTGATTAATGTCAAAGTCACGCGGCCCTGACATGTTATGTTGGAAATTACGGAGCAGCGTTTCCTTCAACTTATCCGGTTTTGGTTCAAGCTAAAAATGAAAAATTGTAAAAAGCCTCAGAGTGGCGAATATGTTATCTCCATACTCACAGGCTCAAAGGTAGGAGTCCAGATTTTGACATTGTAATCTAAGCCCGAAGTTGCCAATACAGGTGCCCATGGATGGGGCTCCAAGCAGTTGACTATACCGGAATGGTCTCCTTTCACAAAGTTTACGATTGATTCGGTATTTTTATCCCAGAAGAACACATGTCCACAATCGCTGCCACTAACAATGTACTCAGAGCGGGGTCCAAAAAAGTTTACACCCTTAATAGTACGACTATTGCTGCAGAAGTAACTGAGTGAGTATGAAGTGATAGGTGGCTAGATTGCATTTACTTACACATGACCCTCGTAGCAGTGTAGAAACTCGCCGCTCGTATAATTACGGCTGTCGAACAGATAAATGCCAGCATCACTGTACGAAGCCAGAATCTCACTACCGCTATGATTATAGACGGCACAAGTAATGTGTGTTATTTTAGTCTGCAAATAGGAGGTACGATTTAATAGATTAAATAAGCCGTTTTTTGGTTTTAAAAAAGTCTTATTAAGAGCTATCTACTTACATCCGCGAGAACAGCTGGTGTCATCTCGTGTACAGGCTTACCGCACTTGCGTTTATCGTAAACGCGCAATTTGTCATCACAGCCGCTAATGCAGAACTCTGGGGCATATGGATGGTGGGATATACTAAACAGTCGTACACGCCCTTCACTGCGACCCGAGCTGCAGCAACGCAGGAGGGTGGTTGGAGATTCGCTTGTTCGCAGGTCAAAGTGCTTGACGGCAGCATCCTCGCCTGCGCTCATAATCTCATACCGAGTGTTTGGCACAACGACAATCTTATGCACTGCTTCGCTGTGCGAGTACAGACGCGTTGGCTTCGGGCAATCACCAGAGGGCGGTATGACCGCACGCCTGACCTGACCGTCGCGACTGCTGGAAATAATATCTAAGCAGCCGGTACTGTCAATAAACTTTGTTTGAAACACATTTAACGTGTGGCCGGATTTAAAACAGTGGCGTATTTTGTTCTTCGCCCAGTCCCATATAACGATAAGCAGATCATCGGAACCGGAACAAATTAGATCGCCACCACGATTAAAGTTTAAACTGTTCACACAACTTCTATGACGAAGTAACGTGGAGGTAAGGGCTAAGCGTTCAACGGCTTGTAGTGAGCTGTAGTAGCCTCGGCCAAAGGCGTTTGCCGAGGTATGACCTCCGCGCCAGCCAATGCGATTGACAATATTGTTCTCGCGGTGCATGAGTTCTGCAGTCAAGTTCCAATTATACGAGGGCTTTGATCTGCGTAAGATCTCGTTTACAGACGATTCGACTTCCTCGAGGTTGACTTCTTCATAAGCCTCCTCCTACGGGGTAATTATTCAAAATATCAACACTGCAATCATAAACCTTCAGAACCTACCTCATTACTTTCTGATTCGGCATCAGTATCAATTCCATCCGAGTAATAATGTGGTATAAAGAAATCACTGGCATTGGAACTATTCTCCTCTTCCGGGCTAAAATCATTATCATTCTCTGCTGCACTTTCCGCGTCATCACCATCGATTTCAGAGTCGTCGCGCTCAGCATCAACGGCAGCGTTAACATTGTCAGTTATTAACGAGTTGGAATCAGATGTAGATGACATAGATAGCTCTATGTTAATGCGACGATACGATCGTGTGGGCGGTATGTTTCGGTGATTGAAAGACGGTGATGTTTGAATACTGGCAACATTATCAGTGTTTGAAGAATTTCCATCGACGGCCCCATCATTACTATCACTGTCTAAAGCTAAGGCGGGGCTGGGGGTACGGCCGCAAGCAGCATTGGCTTCGGCACCAGCACCTTCAGCGTCAACGTCATCATCACTGTCAGGGCTGAGTTGAGCGCTTATGGAGCGCGAGCCCGAGATTACCTCTCTTGCAGCAGCGGCTGATAACCGGTACTCCATAAATGGATTTGTATCACCCAGCTTTTCGCCGCTGAAGGAGGTTGGATTGTCCACGGTATTTGCGTCAGCAGTCCTTTGTGGTGAAGGCAAAAAACAGGAATCCTCGCTGGCGAAGCGTTTTGCTACATTATTTTCACTAGTTGTGGCAGTTTCAGCGATTTTATCAGTATTTATTTCATTGGTTTCAGCGAATTGTGTATGGTTCCCCGATAAATCGTTTTTCTCGCACATTTTGCTGAGACTAGTCTTACTATCGCATGTAGTTTCAGTCGTCTGTAGCGTTTCCTCTGCCTCCACACTGCATTTTGTTACGAACATGTGCAATAAGACAACAAAAATCGATCATTGATGCAATGTATAAATCGCATTTGTCTAACACAAGCTTAAGCTTACCCAACGAGCATTGTGACGTCCTCGTCGTCTAGTGTATTTCGTTTTTGTCGCTTACAGGCTGTGGCCTGTCCTGCTATTTCCAGCTCCATCGTTTTCACTTTCGCTTCCCGTATTATAACTATGGAAGATGTTGTCAATTAAGCTGGAGGATTAAAAAAAAGCCGCGTTGTAACGTTACTCTGCTAGAGACTTTTCCGTGTACGCAGCAGAATTTTTGACGATTGTTTATGTTAGAGGAATTTAACGTAGTGATGGCAGTTAAATGGCGCAGAGACGATGCACGATTTTAAGTCGACTCGATAAATCGATTAAGTGGCGGGTTTCGGACGTAGCTTTTAAAAAGTCAACAAATCTTTTAAAAGATTACGTACAGATTATAAGCTAGCTCTGGTTGTTGTCATGTCAATTGGACAAGAAATTTTGACAAACTACTCTAATCGAAAATAATAATAATTTTTTTAAAACAGCTGCTTCATAGGATTTATGAAGTTAGCTGAGCTTGCCTAAATCGAATCGCATCCCGATGTTGATCAAGAATATTTACATATGTATGTATACGAGTACAACTTCTTGAATGTAATCAAAAATTGTCTTCGATTAAATATTAAAAAAAACGAAAGTTTGTGGGTACACACTTTCCTATGTGGTGAGGGATAATTTTTATTTACATTCATTTTTACATACATTCATAATTTCACTTTCACAGAAAAGATCGCCGATCCAGCAGACAAAACCCTCGCATAAGAAGTTTCACTTCAATAATGCGATGCCTTAAAAATTTGACCTATCATCCTTACACACTACGATACAGCAAGCCCTTACACTTTTCAGAGAAGTGTATAAACATTGTGAATTTGCGGAACTATTACATACATACATATGTATACATATATTCCCACTCTTACCGATCATTCTCTTTATTTTGACTCTTTGTCATTTCGAATATAACCGCGCTGGGTGAATGGCGCGCTCTTTTTATGCTGAGCGCGTCTTAGGCACGGCTGGCTCTTCGGCGACTTGCTGGGCTACTTTTCTGTTGTTGCCTTTTGCTAGCGTTTCGGCTTCAGTGGCGTTATGTATCAATTTACACTGTGGCTGTGGCCGCGCCAGGGTTTAGTTATTGGTAGCAACGCGTTGGCAACGGAACGATTTTTTAACGGCGTAGAGTGGAGATAAAACAAAGCAAGTTTTAAACTACTTTAAAAAAAAACAGTGCGTAATTCCATAAAACTTTTAACTTGTGCATGTATTGCACGTCACATACTAATATTTGACGATTTTCAAGTGCGTCAAGTGTATGGGTTTCTAAGTAGGGTTTCGCCCACAACGAGCGAGTGTATATGTATGCACATACATGCTCAACAATGCTAATTAGATTTTCACTTCACAGCAATGGGGCTGCAGCTACGCATGCGCAGTCCTCTTCTTGATACACAAATTGAGACATCTGGAATATATCTTCAGCAACAACAGACTTGCGAGTTTTTATTACCTTTTTACGCTTTTTGGTTTTATAAGTAATCGTTGTTTCCTGTATAATTTTGGTTCTAGCATTGTCTTTGTTTCCGACGGCGGATTCCGGTTTCCCTAAGTTTATGAGTAAAAAATTAAGCTTTAAAATGAAAAATGCCAATGGCGTGTTTTCCGCATCGTTCAATAACGATATCGCAAGTTGTATTTTAAAGTGATTGTTTGTGCTATTTCTTATCAAAAATCAAACTTTTTTCGTTTACCTAAATCAGCATGTTATCTGCCATTGTTTTTCTTACAAGACAAAAGTTTTTCAACCCAACCAACTGACTGGCTGACTCATGTTCTGGGACATTTTGTGTTATATATACATACATATGTATATACGATATGGATGTTAGCACATTGCCGGCTGCAAAGTCGTCACTCGATTCTGTCTTAGGGTGAACGAGTGAAAGTAGAGAATCAGGTTCCACAGCCTACACATTAAATTGGCTTAAAATAAATTAAAGTTCCCGATTTGGAATAAAAGTATTGCTATATCAATTTTATTTGAAATACATACATATACAGAAACGGTATATACTTTATATTTACATTAATGCATCAACATCATGAACGCGCGACATTTGAATTGTTTTAGACCAAAAACAACACTTAACTTAATAATCATTTGTGATTCACCGCAGACTTACTTCTTTCTTAGAATACATTCCTATGTATGAATTATATAATGGCCCCTCACTTTTCCAATAGCAGACAAAGTCTGGTCAATTAAAGCAACGAGTGAACTTAATTGAAATTATGAAAAAATATCTTGTGGATGAGTATATATAAAAGTACATATATTTATAGATACACAGCCAATCATTCGGCATCTTGCAGTTCAATTAAGACAATGGGCCTATCACGCGAAGCATTTAACGTACAACGATATATTTACTGTTTGATTTAATTGATTCTGGAAGCACAGCTTAAACATTTACTTAATATTTTCCAGAGGTATGCCCTTCATCGTGCAGGAGGTGCTTTTGCTGCTCACATTGGGCGCAGGCATATTTTTGGCTTCTGTGGTGGAGGCAAAAACAGGTAAGTTTTATGGTTAACCGCAACAAGGGTTGATGTACGAGTATGTAAATGTTGAATTTTCTGGCTTCTTTCACAGGACCTGCACATGACAAAGTGGTTGTTTGCTATATTTCCACCTGGGCTGTGTATCGACCGGGTCAAGGCGCCTATGCCATAGACCACTTCGATCCGAGCTTATGTACACATGTGGTCTATGCATTCGCCGGCCTGGATATTACGCAGTCGGCTATAAAGTCTCTAGGTGAGTAAGCCCCTAGTTTACAAATACATGTGCGGTTAAATTACCTGGCTTTGCAGATCCCTGGCAGGATCTAAAAGAGGAGTACGGAAAGGGTGGATACGAGCGGCTAACCGGACTAAAGCGCACTCATCCGCATCTAAAAGTCTCCCTGGCCATTGGTGGGTGGAATGAGGGATCGAGGAACTACTCAATTTTGGTGGGCGATGCTCAACAGCGTGGGCGCTTTGTCAAGCAGGTGTCGAGCTTTGTCCGAAAATACAACTTTGATGGTCTGGACCTGGATTGGGAATATCCAACACAACGTGATGGTAGACCTCAGGATCGAGAGAATTTCGTTTCGTTAACCAAAGAGCTGCGCGATGAGTTCGATAATTATGGCCTGCTATTGACGTCTGCTATAGGAGCGGCCAAGAATGTCATCGATCAGGCCTACGATGTGCGACAGATTTCGCGCTATCTGGACTTTTTACACATTATGTGCTACGATTATCACGGCAGTTGGGACCGCAAAGTAGGATATAATGCGCCATTGATTGCAGACACTCTTGATCCGCTGAGTGTGCAATACAGCATCGATTATCTGCTAAAGCTGGGTGCCCCACCTTCTAAGTTGGTGCTTGGGTTGCCGTTTTACGGGCGCACATTCAAGACACCGGGTAATGGAGTCTTGGGAGACGCTACGGATGGTGTTGGTTTTAAGGGACCATTTACTCGCGAAGATGGTTTCTTAGGATACAATGAGATCTGCAGCATTTTGGGCAATAAAACTTCAGGCTGGTTTAAGCAATGGGATGGGCAGACCTCCCAAGTGCTGGCCTATTCGGAGCGGAACGTTTTTACCGGGGAAGTCAGCGTCGTTACCTTTGACAGTGCGAGGTCGATTGCGAACAAGGTGAAATTTGCAATGATGAAACGTTTGGCTGGCGTTATGGTCTGGTCCACTGATACCGATGATTTCCTAGGCAACTGTGATCTAGATAACGACGTCTACGCAGATTTTAAGCTTGTAACGGCAGCGCCACGACGTCTCAATCAGAACTATCCACTATTACGTACCATTAATGAAGCCATTACGCTTTCCCTTGAGGAGATAGCTGCGGATGAGGTGGTGACACCTGACGATGCGGAGAATGAGATACCGCATGGTGGCGTCGCAGATCGCAAGAACGCCGGCGCCTTCCTCAACAGCACTCCTTTGAGCATTTCTGTTTTAATCTTATTTGTCAGTTTAATGTGTGAGCGCCATAGATTTGTTGTAAATTTGTTGGAGCTGTAGTCATTTGAGTTTTATATAAAAATAAATTAATATTAGTCTATATATATAAAAATGGAAGTATGTATGTTTATTCCCTAGAGAGCCCGAAGCCGCAATATTCAAAATAGTTCAATAGGTGCACCTGTGAAGTTTCGTGGCGACATTGACAGTCACTTTTTACTCCACTTAAATAAATAAAATTGTCTAATACGACGACCAAAAAAGGATCTATTGAATGGGACTTGCGGCTTCGCAAATGCGCGAAATGATACAAGAAACACAAAGAGGCGATGTCCATTGTACAGACGAAGAATATAATAAAGGATCTAATCGCCATAAAAGCAATAAAAAGCGAAGGAGGTATTGGGGAAGGTGTGACATCGGAATGCTTAAAAGCACTACAATTCAGTTGCGCAACAACGCAAGCCGGATACGCTAGTAGTTTATCTACAACTAGCCGTTATTATTTCCAAGCCGCCCATGTACACTCGATATGCATTTATCGATTTCCGAATAAGTGCACTGCCATCCCTGGTAATTATAACGTTAAATTTAATTGCCGGTTGGGATGAATTTGCGGATTTTCGTATAAACAGTTGCAACTAGCTAATCACAGGTGTAGTTTCTTCAGATAAATAGCAAACATATCCCAGGAAGGTGTGACAACATTAAGATAGCAATTTAAAATGTGTACTAGCCACCCAAGCATTCAAAGATTTTCTTTTGAACTTGTCTAATATGTATACATATATTTTTAAATAAATTTGCCTTGCACGCTCTAACATTTAACTAACTAGTATATATGTATGTATATATGTGTGTATATGCAACTATGTATGTATGTATGTTTGTATGTATACGCAGGTAAATATTTAAAACATTTTTTGTATAATATTAGTGGATTATCGTTGCTACAATTTCAACAATTAATTTAATTCTACAATATTGTTTACGCATATGCATGTATGGATGTGTGGTATAAATATACTATATAACTACCATAGAGTTTGGTTTAAAATAGTTAAAGCAAATACTTGTATGATGCTCGTCTACATGGTGCGAGCCTAAAAAATAGTTGGTGTGATAAACATATAGGGATAGATATAGGAAGCCTAACTTAGAAGCGCACTACCTATCAACGAACTAACTAGGAAGAAAGTCTGTTTTGGATGGCAAACATTACATGTAGATTTAACAAACTATAGGGAAGACCACAGCAAAAGCAATATATTCATGTACATACTTGTATGTATGTGTGTATGTATGCGGACGGACTAGACTGAGACTGTGATTGCGTGCTGTTGGTTAATATGCGTAGGTGTGCATCGAGGACTATAACTACATACTGAAAATGAAACCACGCTCTCCGTCACAGGCACAAAGTCCGCCGAATGTCTCCTCCGGCTACACGAAGACTTCGTCTCACAAACGTTTGCTGCTGCTGCTCCGTGCTGCACTACTACCATCAGACCAGTCCGAGCGCTCCCCCGTACCACCGTAGATATCAAGCTGATCACGCGATCGTGTCTTCGACTTGGACTTGTTTTTACTGCCGCTGGAGCGCTGTAGCTGGTAATTACCACCGCTGCCGCCACTGCGATCGTTGATTACCTCGTAGTGGGATTCTCCTCCTCCGGAAAGGAGAAGCTCGTGAATGTTCTTAGTGGAGCGACGATGCGCCTCCAAGCACTGAGATTCGGATGAGTAGGGAAATGAGGCAACAAAGTTGGGAGACTGCTGCGCTGGCTTTGGCGGATCACTGGCAAAATTGGCAGGTGGGGGCGGCAAGGGACCGATGCTACATGGTGTCGATGGCGACAGATCGGTGAATTCAGTCTTGGCCTCTGATTCGACGGAACACATGCTCTGGCGTGAGATATCCTTCTGTAGCTGCTGGTGCTGTTGCTCCAAGGCTGCGGTCTTAAGCGTGGGCATATTCAGATTGGAGCTCTCATAATCGTCCTCCGCTTGAGTCTGGGGAAAAGGCAATCGGCTGCGTATAGAATGTTCGCGTCGTCCAAACCGTTGCGCTAAGTAGTCCTCATTAGCATTGTTGTTGTTGCTTCCGGTGTTGGTTGCATTGGTACTGGTGGAGCTGCTCTGATTACTGCTATGACTGCAATTGCTATGCTGATGACTGTGATGGTGTTGGTGCTGATGTGGATGTGCGTGGTGATGAGCCGTACGGTGTGCCCGCTGTTGCGCATCCTCGTAATAATTATCATTTTTGACGGACATATTACAACAGCTACTCACATCAGCAAAGTAAACCTCTGATTCTGCGGCTTCTAAGCATTCTGGCGCATTGTGGTTGCCGGTGCCATTGGCTATGGCGCCATTGGAATCCTGGTACCCGTTGTTCTCCACACCGCCATTGTTGCTGTTTGATAGTTGTTGTTGCTTGGTCGAAGCATCCGCAACCTGCGGCACTATAGAGTCGCATGCAAAAACTTGATGCACATTAGGTCGCTGCTGACCGGCATTGTTATTGGGTCCGATGCTCTTAGCACCTGCCTCGATTCGCTTCTTCAGCTTGCGCGTGGGAAGAGTGTTGGAACAACGCTCGCGAGCACCGCATCCATCACTGTCCGAATGTGTGTTCTCATATTCGGCTGCTGCTTTGGCCTTGTAGGCGGCTATGGCGGCTCTGCCAAGCGCAACAGATGCTTGTGGCACGTTTCCGCCGCCAGTGCTTTGCCCAAGGGTCAGGCCATCCATACGCTCGAGAGTTGCAGCTCCCTGATGCTGACCGCACAGACGTTGTTGTTGCTGTTGTTGCTGGAGCTGTAGCTGATGCTGCTGTTGATGCGATTGATCCAGCAGGGAGCTGCTGTGTGCATGAGGTAGGGAGGTGGCCACTAAAGTCGCTCCACGTTCCCCGTTGAAGGCCTGGCCGCCGCCTAGACAAGCACTTGGCTGCAGGTACTGATAATACCCGCGACGTGCCGGGCTATTGGGATCACTGTACGGTGGCGGTGGACCCCAGACTCCGTAGGGCAGGGCATTGGGTGGTGGCATTGCATTGAATGCGGCGGCCACAGCAGGCGTAAGCTGTTCTTCTATGAGCATTTGATTACCATCTGCTGTTGCGGACGTGGAGGAAAAGCCGTACTGCGAATCCGGACTGGCTGCAGCCTGCCGAAAGCGCCGACCTGTATCAGGTGTTTGGCGCTGCCATGGCATTCTAGGCCAGCTCCAGCCACTACTACTGCGTGTCGCACGATCTCCGGCACGACAAACAGCTGCCGCAGCCGCGTCCTCGCCTCCTGGGTTGGGTGAATAAAAGTTGCCTGGTGGTTGGGTCGTCCAAAATCGTTGATCCGGTCCAGTGCCTCCGGCAGCTACGGCCGCCGCTGCAGCAGCACTTGCCTCATCCCACGGGTAGCTGGCAGTCTGGAGCGGTAGCGTCAACTGACGATGCGCGTGGCACTGCTCGCAACAGCGGCAATTTAGTACACGGCCTGGGGGTGCCATGGCGCCCAAGCTTGGTGGTGGCGCCTGACTGGCGTAGAGTGAGCGACAACGTAGCTCCAACTGCTCCCAATACATTTTCTTCCGTTCGTGGCTGTAATTAAGTACAATTATCAACTGTACAATCAAACAAGTATAGTATGCCACTATTTGGACTCACCTGAGCAGCTGGTAGACCAGCATACAACTGAAGACCGCAATAAGCACTCCAGCAACGGAGAGGCCGAAGATGGCGCGCAAGCACGAGTATAGGGATCCGTGAACCACTCCACAGTCAGAGAGAGAATCGAAAACAAGGCGGACACCTTCTGAAGTTCAACAACGATTTGGAGTAATGCTGGGAGCAGCTTCTGATAGTTCAATAACGTACCTTTATCCACTCGGTCCACTTGCGACTCAATCAGGTCCGAATAGCACGTGCAGGTGCGCGTCTTCTGGGCGTACTCGCATTCGCGCAGCGCCTGTAGGCGACTCATGTGCAATACGGTCGTCGTTACGGTTACCAGTGCGCATGTCAAGGCCGAGACTAGACCACAGGCTCCGGATAACTTGATCTGCAGAGCGACATACACAAGTTACTACATTTATCAGGCACCGATTGAAGATTTAACTACTTACCAAATAGCTGTAGCGATTCCGTCGTCGAGCTAGGCTCATAATACAAACGCCCGTGAGAATGAGCTAAGGATTAGCATATAAATATATTTATTTATAAAAAGAAAATAGTTTGATAATAGTTTACCAGCGTGGCGGGTACAAAAGTAGGCACCGTTTCAAAATTTCCCACTGTGATGGTGTAGGAATGCAGGAGAAAATACACGCCAAGAAAGAGCACCCCCAGTAAGCAGGAGAAGCCACCGCATATAAGGCACCACACCACATACTTCTTGATGCCTGCACCATGTCGGTGAGCTGAAATCAAAGCAAATGAATCAGAGAATACAAGTATAAGTTGTTTTAGGTGAAAACGAATTATGTTTGGGAATGTGCGGGTAGTTTAAGGGCGGAAGCTAACCCATAGTCGTTGCGCCGCGATGTGCATCCGCATTTGTGGGTGGTGGTGGAGCTGCCACCCAGGAGCAGGGCGGTGGCATGCTGTATTGTACAAACTGCATCACAGGATAGCCGTGCATGTTGATAGGGATTTCTGTTGTCGTTTTTATTGCAGTTGCGGATTATTGTTAGGACTTTGTAGGGTGGGGGGGAACTCTTTAAAAACTTTATTTTAACTCGAATAGGTCATCGATTGATTAAACTGAGACATCCCGTTTAAAGAATTGACCGCAATCGTTGCAAATTCCAGGAAACATATCCATGAATACGTCGTGAATATTTTTTTCCACTTGTTTTTTTTTTTTCTACACCGCCACAGAAAAATATCTACACACAAGTTTCGGACGCCCAGAGCACAGACTGCGCGAACTGCGAGATGGAGATGCCTTAGCACGACTATGGGTCGGTGTGTGTTTGTGTGCGTGGAGTGCGTCGTTGTATCCATGCAATTACGGAACGGTGTCAACTGAAAGTCCCGACTGGCATTAACACAATTCCAACCACCACCCGTGGGCAGCGAATAGTGCTGCATTTATGGGAGCTGTGAGAGAGTGTGAGAGAACATTTGAGGGCCTACTATGATTGTGAGCCTGCGCAGGCGCCAATTCAGAAGTGGTGCGGCTGAATGGGATGCTGTTGGTCCAAATGTCTACTGGGTACGTCCTGCAGCTCTTGATAATTTATCGAAAAGGTAAGCAATAGTTACACTCCTAGCTATGGAAAAACGCAGAAAGACGTACCAAGAAGAGAAAAAGAGCACGCAACTCATTTTGGGTGGCCCGCATTATAATCAAAACGAGATCTGCGAAATTAGCAATAATTTAAAATTGCCTATTTGCATATTTAAACGGAAATGACAAGCATAGTCTATTTCAATGATTTATTTTATGAATTCATTCAATTCTTCTGTTGATGATTCAGAATTGTTTATAAAAAAAATAATTCCATTTTTGTCACTCCCAGTCGATTGTAGTTTCGAGCTCTACAACGAATATTTCTACAAATATAGTGACTTTAAAAAATGTGTACAACGTTTCTGCTATTATACAAGTATGTATCTCGATATGTGCGTTATATTTAACAATTCTGCATACACACTATATATTTCTCGCCAAACTAACAACTGCGAGATCTACAGTACGAGTATGCATGTGTATGTATGTATGTATGTATTGTATAGTGTAGTGGGATAAGCTTTGAGTCGTACCATATAGTTAATAAAATAGAAAAGCAATTAAAAATATTATGAATTATAGGATATTTTAGGAATACAATTGATTTCCAGAACTAAGGCTGTTGAAAGTTTCTACACTCACTGTTCATACGACCGGATGAACAGTAGGACATCGATCAGCATGTCTGATCGTAATGGTTATTATTTTACCGCTACGTGCATTATTTAATCAAAATTTTAAGTTTTTGACAGATGTATAAAACGGTTAGATGCATAAGAGACTTAGTGGTACATACTTGTACATTCTTTGTTGTCTTTATATCATATTTTTTATTACATATATCGAGAACATTTAATTGAGTTGACTGGTATGGATTGATACATCCTATATACAAGTAGTTAGAAGTGAGTTCTCTTACTTATTACATTCATTTAAAATAACGAAGGTTAGACTAACGGTTTTGTTCGGAGAATTTTTTGATGCTACAAGCTTAAGTCGACAGTTAAATTAATTAGAGAATTTCGATCTGTAATATGATTCCTGGACACTTACCAATAGAGCTATTGGCAGCACTGTGCGGTCTAGGCGGCGGTCGCGGCGGTAACGGCGGACGATTATCTTCCAGGCCCTGGGATTTGCGACAGCAACTCACATCGTTGCCATTTGTCCCTACAGCAGCATCCAACTCTGTGTCATGGTAGATGTCGTTACAGCTACTGCTGACGGGGCGTGCCTTGGGCGGTAAATCACTGGCGGTGTTGGAGCAGCGGGCCTTCTTCTTCTTGATGATGGTGCTGTTGTTGTCCGATTCGCTTACCGTTATCTCATCAGCACCCAGCATAGCATCGGCGAGGAGACTGCGCTTATGGTGGGCCACAATGGTGCTGTTACTATTAGCGGCGGAAGCGGAAGCGTTTGTGTTGGCATTGACGCCACAACTACACTCCAGATCGCATTCACAGCTCGCTGCACTCGCAGATGTGTCCAGCGGTAAATTTAAACGCTTCTGCTCCTGATCCTGCAGATGTAGTGCCTGATAGGAATGATTGAGCAGAGATTGTGCGGATTGTGTTTTGATTGGCGTCTTTTGTGGCTGATGCTCCGGAGATTGTTGATGCACGATGACAGCCACTGCCATTGGTGTATTCTGTTGCTGTTGCTTCTGCATTGCTGTCAACGACTGCTGTGTCGCACTGGAGCGTCCACAGGAGCAGGGGCATTGGCATTGCTGGGTATCGACATTGGCCGCATCAACAATACCAGCTTGACTGGCTGGTTGATAATGCACCGGATACTGAATATAATGATAGTGATGGTGTTGTGGCTGCGACTGCGATTGCGGGACTGCAGCTACAGAAGCGCATGGCAACTCCTGTGTGAGGCTGGCATGCGAAGCGACACGTTGCAAGGATGTTTCCATGGTGCTGGCGGAGGCAGCAACAACGACAGCGACGGGGCCGACAACGGCGGCTGACTAACCGGACAACTGGCGTCTATGTTTAAGACTGTTGCTGTTCCGCAAACCGGTTTGACCCTTTAATGCCTTCCAATGCTTATTTATGCTACATACGCGCGCACACACAAACACTCGCATCGCATACGCAGGCAAAGGCAATGGCCAGTGGACGGGCCATAATGAGTGGAGTATCTGGCAGATACCAAACAAGCAGCAACAACACTAACACCAACAACAACTCTATTGGGGGAATATTTCGTGTGTGCTGCGCTCTCACGCTTCTTTCAATTTCATGCACTATAAATTGACAGAATTTATTGCTAATGTTGCAATATTTTCGCTCGCCAATCAAAATAAATAAATAACACATTCGAAATTAACATAAACAAGCCACAAAAGAAACCGCTGCGCGACTTAGATTGGAACGGAGAAATAGTCGAGAAGCAGGGGAACGAGTAAATTAAAATTAAACCGCCACAACCCCAAAGGCGACGACGATTCGCGGGCACAGCTCAAACACAACTGAGTGGTCTCATGGTTGTGCCTTCGTTTGGTTCATCGACGATCGGTTTGAGCGCAACTTCGAGCTGCAACTCACACCCACACACACCCATACACTTAACGACTTGCGCTTGGGCAGACAGGAGTTTTCTGTTGAGCTGAAAGGTGCGCGCAACTTCAAACAAATTCAGGTTCTCCCTCTCTTGCTGATGTTGTTGTTGTTGCTCCTGCTTTTGTTGCACTGATTCAGTATAAATTCTGAAGGTGTAGAGCAGACCCGGCAGCATAAACAACAACACCAGAACAGAGAAAATCAATTTCTTTGTTGAGCATTTGATTCTTAACACCCTCACTGAGAGTATTCCAATTTTTCTCTGGTGTTTGTAACTTGGAAAGGTATTAATGTATTTTCATATGGATGATCAACTAACATGATTGATTTATAGATCCTTCAGATGTTACTTTTCACTGCAATAAATAGCAATCTGAAAGAACTATTATACATATTGAGTTACACATACATATGTATGTATGTACATATTTAGCAAACGAAAGTTTCGGAAATTTCCTGAGCAATAGCTGGTTCGCACGCTCAATAAATTTCAAATTATAGTTCGTTGTTTTAGGAGATATACTCATTAAAAAATACCGTTGAATCTTTTATAGAACTTGGACTGAATAAGCTGCCTTTGTGTTGCCAATAGACTTGTTTAGAGTATTAAATCTTCGATACGCGAAACATACCTTGTTTCTTAGGTAAATGCCTCCTATGGTGTTGCTACCTGACCGATGGGATCGCCAAGACTCTTGTTATTTTGTGTGGCTTACAGTCGGTGAATGTGTTTAAGTGTTCCCTACCTTATGCTTGTAAGTATGTACGTTGTTATTTGTTAGCCATCTGTAGATCCAATTTAAATGAGCTCACATTTGGGCTCAGCATACAAACGCACATACATATGTATATATGTATGTACATACATATGGCTGTATCTGCATAATATTGTTGGAACCAACCGGCATACACTCAGTGAAAACAAGCCTAACTGTCACGATTTACGATCGGTGCGGCATAAATTATGCGGCCATTATCTTAGGCCTGGCCCGTGTATTATGAATGAACAATATGGGATAAGAGTAAGAGTAATAGTATTTTATTTTAAATTTACATCATATTTGTGAGTAAATGTGTAGCTCTTCGGCTAAATAATTAATAAATCAATTTCAATCAACCTTCGTTAAAATACTATGCAAATAAACAATTGGCTCCATTTTGCTGCATCAAAACATTTTTTGTATAGAAGTATACTTGTATAGTAAAGTAAATGATATAATTATGTAAATGAAAGTAATGTTTTTGTTTTGTTTATTGATGTCAAATGTTATCCACAGATACTGCAATTTAAGAAACGAATATTTAAGATTCAAATAAATTCATTAATGCATAACTACTTAATATATCGTGATTAGTATCATAACAGATAACAAAAACAGGAACCTGGAAGATTTTATTTTCCACGAAAATGTGTAATTTGTGCCTGGGTTCTGTGCTCCTATTTCAGCGACGCCATTCTTTGGCTATCGGAACAGCCAATTTTTTTTACTACAATGGCCATACTCTGAAACAAACAGCCTCCCGCTTCGTTGCCCGCTTGACACTAACTGTAAATTCTTGCTCATTGCAGTGTTTGTTGCGTTTATTTATTTGTATTTGTGAATGTACATGTGTGGATTTACTATTACAATTCAGTGTCATGCTTTAGTTCTTACATGTTGCGAAAATGTTGTGAGTTTATAACATTTTAATAATATAACTATAAAAAATGTTAAATTTCCGCCTTTTGACTTGGTACTTGTCTGCCGTCTCCGGCTCTGCATACATACTATAAATACTGGTATGTAAACGAGTTTTTTAATACTTTTTATTGATATAAAAATTTAATTACATATTTTGAAAAACATTGAATGCAAAGTTAAAGTTCATTTAAAATCAGTTGGACAACATTTATAACAAAAACTAAAAAAAAACCTTCGTAAACGCAGATTTGAAGTCGATCGAAGTGAAAAAAATCAGCTTGTTGTGTATCCTTTTTTGGAGTACAGATACCAAGTTTGACTTTATTTGGATAAAAAAAATTCTGCTTTTTCATACAAACGTTGGAGCCCATTCCCAATTTGGAGTTTAAATTTTCCAAAACTGCTTTTTAGTACCCCTACGCTGGGCCTTTACCGTTAGGGCTGTGCGTTGATAATCCTTTGCCTTTTCGTGTTCCAATTTTTCAACAAGAATGCCACAATAAGTCGGGCACCAATCAGCCAGCAAGTCAGGACAAACTGTTTTATATACATATGTATTGTATAGATAAAACATACATAATCAGTTGGCATTGGGAATTTTATTTAGGAATTTATATTCGCACATACATACATACATACATATAGACTTAATCATGGCACATACACACATTTGACGCAAAAAGCCTAATGAAACACGACTTTTGTCTTTTAATTAAAATGTGCAACAAAAAAGAAAACGATAAGATTAACAATTGTTACGATCAAAGTTTTAGGCGAATGACTTTTATACATACTACGTCATGTATATAAACATATAATATACAATATACGAAAACATACGTACATATGTACGAGTATACATATGTAAATGTTACAAATGGCATGTGTAGCTATTTTTATGTTTAAGTTCTTAGATATGCATTAACACAATTTAAAGCGCAATTAACCATTTTGAACATGTTGGGAACTAAACAAATAATATGTACATGAGTCGTAAGCTGCATTAAACTAATTAGGAAATATCACAACCAAACACTGATGTACATGTACATACAAGTATAATATGTAATGTAAGCGTCGTACAAATGGCAAACCACCATTCAACGTGTTACGAATATGATTCGTTGAGTATTGCCTTAAGTACGCTAATATGGACACTGACATGGACATGGACAAGGGGAAGGGGGCAAATAGGTAATGCCTAAAATCACATCTCTCTTAATTCACTGAGGCCATATCTGATTAGAGTTTCTTATATCAATATGTATATACAACCGCGTAAATGTGTAAGTGTTAACCTATTTGGTTTTGCTCGTTATAGACAAATATTTTATACATTTTATACTTTTGAGTGTCATTCCCATTCATTTCTAAATCGTTACAGTTCAGTTAATGTTATGGAGACATGATACATGTCACGTTTTATCAATCATCTGGGGTCGGCAGCAGTTAAACCTGCAAATTTGATGCTACTTCGCAGATGATGCCAGCGAGTGCACCAGCATGGCAAAACTGCTAATTAGGAAAATGCTTGCCGGTAATGAGGATAACAGCCTGTAGTACTCCTCAGTGTTACCTCGCGTCTTTTTCTGTTTGATGACCCAGCCGAGGCTTCGCTCTACCGCACGTTTCCATTTTCCGTAGCGTTCCGTGCGCTCCAGCTCTGTTGTTGTGGGCAGGAACGTGTCATAATGCACGTTCTCATAGTAGCGTTTCTCCGGTTCAAATTTGCACAGATTAATACCCTCCGCCTGGGCAGCACACATGGCTACCCCAAACGCAACCGAGTCCTGCATTTGAGAACGGAAGACGGGAATGCCTGCAGTGTCTGCCTGGAGCTGCATTAGTAGTTTGTTGGTGGTCAACTTGCCATCGGCATGCAGTTTATTGATCTCGTAGCCGCACTCCTGATGCATGCACTCCAGAATGTCCTGCGTCTGGAAGCAGATTGATTCTAGAGCTGCTCGCACGATGTGATTCTTCTTCGTGAACTGTGTCAGACCAATGATGATGCCACGTGCGTTTTGTCGCCAGTAAGGTGCATACAGACCTGTGAAGGCAGGCACAAAGTACACATCACCCGACGAGGGAACCGCCTCTGCATACTTTTCAGCATCGTTGGAATCGGACAAGAGACGCACCTTGTGCTGCAGCCAGGAGAGCGTATGACCAGCCACAGATACCGCACCCTCAAGGGCATAAATAGGTTTTGCATTTGGTCCCAGCTTATACGCGACTGTAGTGAGCAGCCCATGCCGTGAAAATACCGGCTTATCACCTGTATTACAGAGCAGAAAGCAGCCGGAGCGATAGGTACTCTTCGTTTGTCCGGGCTTCACGCACATTTGGCCTAACAGCGAGGCTTGTTGATTGCCCAGAATGCCGCTCAGAGTAATGCCACGCAGGACTGATTTTTCCGAGGTGATCTTTCCAAATATCTCTGAACAACTGCGTATTTCTGGCAACATGTCCTCGTGTATGGAAAATGTTTTCAACAACACTGGATCCCAGCTTAATGTTTCGATGTTCATAAGCAGGGTGCGTGAGGCGTTTGTCACGTCGGTAATATGCAAAGCACCTGCAATTGGGAATAAAGTTATGTAGTAAGATTTTAGAAGCAGATGAATGAGGACCTACCATTCGTAAGACTCCATATGATCCAGCTGTCCACGGTTCCTATCTTGCAGCGTTTTTCACGGCAAGCGCGTTTTACTTCTGGCACATTGTCCTTAAGCCAGCGTATTTTCGAGACCGAGAAGTATGTGAAAATGGTCAGGCCCGTACTCTGCTTGAAGTGATTCGCATCCTGAACCTTGGCTACAATTTGCTCGACCGTCGTCGATGTGCGTATGTCCTTCCATACAATCGCATTGTACAGTGGCTTCCCGGTTACCGCATCCCAGACAATGGTCGTCTCTCGTTGGTTTGTAATGCCTACCGTAGCGATATCGCTTGCGCTATATCCATGTTCTGAAAGTTGTTTGATGGCTTCGTCGGCGCATACGTTTATGGAGGCCATGATCTCCAGAGGATCCTGCTCATACCAGCCATCCTGCGGCGTTATTGCGGTCAACTCAACGCGATGAGCAGCAATTTCCTTAAAGTCCGGCGTTGTGTAAATGGAAAAAGCGATAGTTTTCGTGCCTTCATCGATGACCCCCACCAGACTCGAGGGTTGAGCGAGTGATTGTTTGCGCAGTTCGTTACTGCGAAACGGTACATCTGCACTAGAATTGGGAACATTTTTGGGTTCGGTCATGATGCTGCCTGAAATTATAGATTATAACAATGATGAGAGCTGGTTTTAAGCTTAGCTCACGAAAATCTTATTGCCAGTCATTCTTCAGCCATAAATCATTCTACTCTGGGGGCAGGGGCAAACGTAGATATGTGTATGGCAATGGTCGAGCCCTCTAACCAGAAATGTATTCTTATCGCTCATAGGCAGTTTTAAGTAATGCAAAAATAGAATGATACTCTTAAAATAATAGACAAAGAGTAAATCAGGTCTGCTCTGTCGGCGACCATATTCTGCTGAAAAATATTCTCCAAAGCGCGAATAACTAATCACGAATCGAATGTATTTTCCTTACATTCGTACTGTGGATGATCAGTACACACACTATCCTCGTGTTCCGAAATGGAATATTTTAGACCAGCGAACATCTACATACATACACATGTACATAGTTCAAAAGGGTATACACGCATCGACATGAAAACATATTTGTATTTCACATATTGTTGTTGTTTTGATAACTGATAAGACGATGGTCGAATAATTTGTTCTATGCGTTATCAATTATGTGCATACATATGTATTCGTATTGTATAATTGTAATTATTTACGAGTTCTTTTGGTTCAAAGTCTATGGAAATTTAAAAGAGACTTAAGAAGCGTCCGCTCTGGGTTCAAACTATGAAAAGCTATCGACGGCGAATATCTAGAGATTATTCACAATAATTTTTTTAATGTTTATATTCTGGTTATTCCAAGAAAAACGTTAGCCGAACCACTTGTGGCTTGCTGATTAGAATTGAACAAATTATCAACATAGCCCTAAATACCATTTATGTACTAAGCGGTACGTTTGATAAAAGCATATTGATAAGTAGAGCAGGCAGCTCGAAACTATGCACGAGATACAAATTCTTATTTGCCCTGGCACTTGTAATTAAGACTTATGCCGATGTTCGACTTTTAAATTAAGGCAATTACCAATCATTTAAAATTGACACATTTCAGATAACAATGTCTGCCATTAAACGATCTTGAGCTTTCTAAAGTGAATTTCCATTATGTTTAATTAAAACAATTATTATTACACTTAACGCACTTTTATTTCGGGTCTGCTCCGTGTGTAGTCGCAATTGATAACGTCGATAACAACAAATTAAACTGCAGCACTTGTATAAATAGTTAGTGACAGAGAGATCACAGGAAGAGAAAGAGACAGAGAGAAGGTGGTGCGGGAGAAATAAAGAGAATTCGAGTGGAGTGATAGGAGTAGGCACGCGCGCGAAGTAATGCCACTATTTCTTAAATTATTATTTTTGTTATAATTCCCCGATACGCCCAAACGCGACTGTCCACGGCGAGCGCCAACAAGAATCTGAAGTCAAAGACCAAGCGGCAGAAACCGAAGGCGCGTCCGCGCAATGAAAACAAACGGTAAGGAAAGAGCTTTCAATGAACGTCACACGCATTGAAATAATCAACGAACCGCCGACAAAAAATTGACTACCACATTGACCGAATAAAACCGGTGGCGGCACCCCGACAGCTATAACAGGGCACACATACATACATATGTACATATGTATATACACATTTATACATACATATGAGTGTATTTGTATGTACGGTAATAGCGTCAGTAGCAACGCCAATAGCCACGGCTGATAAGCCAAGCGAAGTCGACTGGCCAGAGGGGGAGCGGTGCAGGGCTATGTCGCGAATGCCAATGTCAGTGCAATAAACTGGCAACTGGATGAGGTAGTCGACGTAGCCACAGCATCGATAGCCTTGGCATTTGAGCCACATTTGCATGAAGCAGATGAATGCACGTGGGTACAACTATTTACATACATACACACAGAGAAAGCACTTTGTGAGTCTTAATCAACATAATATTCCCAGTGTGAGCAGAGAGAACTTTTGTAGGGTAAGTACTAAAGACACGTTTTGCCCTCTCGCTGACCAGGCTTATTAAATATAAGCATTAAAATTTACATACTAATATTAATAAGAAATGAAAAAAAAAGACGGATTGATAACCACCTCCTTTTTTGAAGTCTTTTTATATCATATTAATTTATATCATAAAAATATATATTTTAGTTGTACAATTTTTCAACTTGCGAATTTATGGGTTAGTTTTATTTTGGGTATTGTTTTTGATGCTGAAAAACATTGACAATTTGTTGGCGCATTCTCATGCTATTTATAACATTTTTATCAACAATTGCTTTAAATCGTGGGCTTTCATTCAACTTTTTCTCTGCGTGCAGCTCTGACACAAAGAGTTCGCATAAAAATGCGAACAAAACCTCTTCATCCACATTCAAATATGAATGCACAACAAAACATTAAAAAATTGCCAACCCAAATGGTAATAAATGTTGACATTTCGCAAGAAGAAGCGCAACTTCAAGTCCCAATAGCTGTCACCTGCACAAAATATTTGTTTGTTTTTATTTTTGGCCAGAAAAGGGGGAGTGTATCAACATTGAATATTTGCCAAAAATAAAGCACAACGACGTATGTATGTATGCGCTATATATATTTATATGCATATAGTATACATATTATACGTATGTATATGTGCATACGTAAATAAATGAATAATTAATTCATTTTTGTGCAACGCTACATTGTTCAGACGTTGTATTTTTACAATTTTTAGTATATTTATGGGCTGAATTTGTGTGTATATTTTCACTATGGGTCCAATGCCTTAAAAGTTCTAAATATAAGATGTCTAGTCACACCAGGATGACCAGACAAATTTGCACCAGGTTAATACATTTAATCCATAAGCACGCGGGTATTTTATATCCGTTGTTAGAGCTGAAAGTTTCGTATAGAAAAAATCGAAATATATTGATTTAATTTATATATTGATTGTACTCGTACAGCTGCCAGAACACAATTGGTACAAAATTAAAATATTTCAGTTGTTAATTGTTGTCGATCTAAAGTTTGTAGTTACTTTTGGAGTAATTAGATCAAAGATAAATGATATTTTTAAGTGTGTTTAAAAATCTGATTCATAAAACTGAATAATTAAAAATAGTTTTAAACGGTACATGTTTCGAATAGAATATGTTGTGCATTATTGAATCCAAAAAATTAGACCACCTTTGATTCATAATGCAAAAACCATTCCATATTGGCTTAAAAAGTGTTCTATATGTACACATATCAGCATAAGTATTCATACAAGTATATACTTATTTCATTCTTAAATATGAAAGCTGCTTATTAAGGAAAAAGCTATCTACCAATCTTGTCTCTTTTGCATAGCAGTTTCAAAAGAACTTCTATCAAATAATGAGTCATAATCACATGAGTAAGCCGCATGTTTCACCATTCGTAGCATTTGCATTGTGAGGCAATTGAAATAAAAAACAAGTCAGCAATGCACTCGAGTCGTCAAAGTTCAACAAACTGCAGGACGTACTAACTGCACATATGTATGTACATATATCCATATGAGTATGCATACATAATTACATATGTACATACATATGTAGGTTTGTTAATTAGTAGTGTTAATTACTGCATATATCAAAAAGTTTTCTCACATTCTGTCCATAGTTTGCCAATATGCATAAACAAATATATGCTATGTACATATCTGTATACATATATACTATATTTCTAGGTTCCTTATCAGCCTTATCGAATGTCAAAGTCTATCGTATGATGGTAATAGTATTTTTTGAAATTGTTGCACATATGTATGTATGTACGTACTTATATATGTATGTACATACTCGTACATATTTGTCAGCGATGTCGTGGCGCTAATAGCAGCGTGCGACATATGCTGATGAGCTGACAAGTCAATCGATATGGAATAACATTTGCCAAGTTGCTTGTAAACAGTGAACAAAATGTTATATGTATATACATACATACACATGTACATATGTAAGTATTTATTTATGAAAGCGTGCATGTTATCAGCGACAATGCGTTGCTAATCACAGTACAATTTGTCGTAGCTTTTTAATGTAAATGTCTATCAAAACAGCGTTTCTGTATAGCTAAGGTCACAAAACATGGCGTCGAAGTTTTAAGTACATAGGTATGTACATCCAAATGTATGTACATATGTATGTATGTACATATATACACAAAAATAAACACATCTAATATTACGTGTACATGCAAATAGCCCGAACAAGTTCGCATATTGTGCATGCAATTTCTGATGTTAATTTATGCATTTGGTTTTGAGTTTTTTACTGTTTTGTTTACCACTTCAAATGTAATTTGCGTTATCTGCTGTGCACTTGGTTATAAATCACTGCGTCGCAATAAGTTATTAAAGATGTACTAATAAGAAATGCAGGGAAAATACAAATCGTATTCATGAGCACAAAAAATTCAAGTACAATTTACAATTTGCGGACCCGCGTGTTGCGACCGCTTGCTTGGCTGACGACAAACTGAACTGAAATATTGATGAGCGGCAGAGTTTTGAGGCGCTGCATGGGGCTCTGTGGAAGGGCACGAAACGTGGGAAAAATGAACAAGATCGTTGTTATCAAATCGGAAGAATCAAATGCTTGCTTGCTATGTTTTTGGGTAACACGTGAGCGCTAAACGTAACAGCTATGTATGTATGTATAAAATCAATTTTCTCGACTGTTGCATGCGTCATACCCGACTGGGCTGTGTCCTTGACAAGCCCCTTTAAAGCCGTTCGCTGATTGGCCAACTTAGCGGCTGACTATGTCACCACAGTCCCTAAAAAGTATACAGCAGCAACAACAGTGCGCAATTAGTCAATTTAAAAACCTCTTGGCCAAAAGTTATGAAGTTCTTAGCATTTATATAAATATAAACATATTGCGTACACATATATATGTACATACATATGTATGTTTATATTATATCTTAAAATTGTTAAGCACAGGGATTCAATTAAACTTACTATTTGCATTTGCATTTAACACTAAATATTCAACATTTTGTACTTTGGTACTATGTAAATTAGGATTATCATATCTAAATACATTTTATAGATTTTCTCTTCACGATTTTCTTTATCAATGCACGGCGGTCGAGCCCCTTTTTTTACTAATGTTAGAGATGGGGCAATATTTTCATTCGCATATGCAAGTCACTAGGTACAAATTATAAACTAAACAACATAGATACATTTATAATGACATATAACTGGCCTACGGACTGGCGGCGCTGTAACTCATACTTTATATTATTAAAAATAAATTATTGTTATTAATATATAATTATTTATATATGAACACATATTTCACGCACTGTGATATAATAGTGATGAAATTCACCCCTCTCTAGGTTTAGCGTTGCCATCTCTTGTAAATTGCCACCGGCAGGGCTACAGGAACACAAATATTGCTTGGCCTTTGTATTTGCACATATCTGAAACAACAAAGGTTGCAAGAGTTGGTTTTATTTTTATGAAATATTTAATTTCTACTTATCACAAACTGAATTAATTATTTATTAATATTCAAACATTCGTAAGAATTTCTGAAGAGAAGAGATGGAAAGGTGGTTTCGCATTAAAAGCTTACTTACCATGCGGATCATGGGTGTTACTGTTTAAGCAAGTGGTAGCATTGAATGGCGCGTTGAATTTGAAATCCAACGTTTTGGAAATACATAACGAATAACCACACGGCAACACAGTCTGGCTAGACTAAATACCGAAACAGTTGGTTGCTTTCTGATGGTTGAATATCATATTGGTGGTGCGAACATGAACATATTGCCATTATACTATATTTAAGTAGAGGGAAAATAAAAATGCTGAATAAAATGTATCTACTTAAACAATGTACTGCGTCGATACGTGTATTTTATTAGATAGTATCTTTTACCTATTCTGCATTTAATAGGAGCAGGAGTAGGTATTAAAACAAGTAGACGCGATGATTTGATGATTTCTCGCAATTGGATACAAAATAAACATGTTTGGTGACTACATTTGTAGTCATTTTTTGTGGCGCGATGCAGCATAACCAAATGGCAGCATTGCCTGTGAAGCTTTACATTTGATACAATGTAAACATTATGCTACGCCCCAGAATTGACTGTGACGTTATGCCAACAAGAGCACCGAGTTACGGACCTGATTTTATTACATATTTGCAAACATATATTTGAATATATGTTTTCTACCACCTAATTTTTACATTTTATTTTTTACTTCTATATTAGGTTAGGTTCACTTGCCGTTTTTAAATTTATACAATAAATGGACGTCCACTCAACAGTTGCGTATCTGTTAGGTCGATATATGTTATCGAAAATCATAATTATCAACTATCGACTCCACAGTATCGAGTGATACTTTTAGTTAGATGCGTTTCGGGCGTCGATAGAGTTAAATGCACGTCGCTGAGTATGCGGAGGTTTTGTAACATATAAGTATCTTGTGAATGTGTTTAGACATAATTGAATTAAATAAGTGCTGCCGCGTAGACAAAACGCACCGAATTGGCCCAATTGAAACCAGATTAAAGTTGAAGTGCTTTTGCTTTTAGTTCCAACAAATTGCGTTGTTTATTTATGAGAGAGTATATGTATGTATGTATTTTAGAAATTTACCTACGCGTGAGAACTTCATCACTAAAATCTGATAATTTAAAATAATTGAATACTATTAGAAAATCGTGTTACGGAAAATTGGTGCCAAAATGCAAAACAAGTTTTGAGTGCAAATTTTATTTTTGTTGTGTTGGTGCCCACAAGATGAAAGTGAAGCAAAGCATACGCAAAAGAAATCGCTGATGCTATAAGCATTTAAAAATAAAATACGGTATGTTCCGCAATATATTCCAAAAATGGCTTCGCAAAATTGAAGTACATGTGTACATATGTACAAATATATAAGCAAACGCAAACCGAGTGCAATAATTTTAAAAGCTAATTGCTGAAAAGGTGTGTGTATGAGTCAAATTGTGAGTGCATTCTTCGCATAGGCTTTGAGTGAGAACATCAAGCCATCCAGAGAGCTCAGATGTGTTCTTAAAAAAGGTAATTTTCTAATTGCCTAAAGTGATAACATCATTTTTTAAAAAACATACCATGCAAAATTGTTTGCAGTTACACCTGAAAATGTGTCATTTATTATCTCAGCTGTTTACGAAAGTTCCAGTTACCTGTTGTTTACGGCAACGTATAGATACGTTGAGTGTGTTGGTAAACTTCTATCATGTGTATGTGTGTGTGCATACCTGCTTTTGTTTATTGCCGCATGCCTTTGTGTGCGTGTCAATTAGCGTTTTATTTTGAGCGTGTTAAATAAGGTAGGAAACCTGTTCTGGTTAGCGAGTCGCGAACGCTCTTTTAAACTTTATTTTGATTGCTTGTTCTTTGCCTCAAAAGAAAGTCTACTCGAATATTCTGTGCGAAGCGGTGAAAGCAAATAAAATTCGCAAAAGCGAAAATTAGAAACTCTCTTTAAGTCAAACCACTCGCCGTATAATATCCCGCATGAATGATTAGTTGTATTTGCAGTTGCTAGAGTAGCCAGCAGATGGTGGCGTATCAATGTTGAGAACAAACCCCGATTAATTGGTAGCTATGAATACCATCCATTTCCTATAGAGCTCAGTATATAGTAGTTGTCAGCCTCACAAAAAGTCAGTATAAGACGACAACGTTTTATAGGGGTGGTTCGATTTAGACAAGTATTCAAATGTCATATGTAACTTTTCTCACGTTTGTACATACATACATATTATGTATGTGTGGGCATACTGTAAAATATATTTGCTATACAAGTATATAGTACATTGTACATATGTACAAGTACATACATGCATACGAACATACTACACACTTGAACACGTCGTGATAATCAGTTTTTTGTCCACTTAAAGGTTTTTATACTTTATCTTTATTTATAGATAAGATAATTTGTACAACCAACTTATTTGTTTTGCTGCTAAACATTAAATTTTTGTGAATCCCCTTGAATTACTCCCCTATGCTAATTTCACTAAATGCTGGAGAAAAAGTTTTGTTTGATCGTAGAAAGAAGGTCGTTAGCAAATGAGCAAATATAAAAAAAAGATAAACAGCTAATCTTGCCAGTGACACCAGAGGTACCAGCACAACAATTTTATTCTTTGCTGGACTACAAATTTGGACTAAGCATTTACTTTTTAGCGGATCGTTAAAAGACCACTTGTAAACTACAGTTTTGACACCCACACACACATTGGAAATTGCCTTGTCTGGCCAGTACGAGCAGATCCATTTTGCAAAACATGCAAAGCTTTGCTCATAATAAGTCTTGACATTCAAAACTACGAATGCAAATTTCTGTATTCTATAAAAGTGCAATGCACTCAAGAAATGCTTGTATTTTGCATGTACAACAAATGATTGACTCATCCGATTAATGGCTGACAAAACCCTAGTTCTGTATGATATATTTAAAAAATTGGCCACGAGCACGATCCTTTTAAAGTTAAATATGAGAATATGCACACTTGCAAATACATCCATATGTACAAACACATAAATACATATATGTATGTATATATTTACATATGTAGAAAACGTACACAGTTTACAGGCATGTGCATTATCAAATCGGATAACCATGAGAGACGAGAACGAGACCCAGCCGACACCGACACAGCCACTCAATTTTAAAATCAACAGTCTCATTAGGATGCCAGCCATTACAAATATACATACATACATATCTTGAATTTCCATTGTCTCAGCGGTAATGAAGAGCATTAGATAATGCGCGGATATACATTCGTATGATTATGAAAAGTGCAGCCACAGTTGAATATCTTTCTTATATATCTCAGTTTAGGATACAACCTTTTAAATTCTGTTATAGGATGAAAATGTATACATACATACTTATACTATAGACGAAATATTAGAACTAAATCTGTTATTTGCAAGATTCATAAACATGTGTGTCTAAGAAACGAAAAGTACAAATATTTACCGTTCGTTTCTTACTGCATAATTCCGACTTAGGGTATAAGCTCCTCTCGACTACTGCTGTCGCCATCTTGGCAACAATTTCCCTGTATTTAATGGTTGCATGCTTGGTATCAACTTTAAAGTCATTTCATTCCGTGAAAAATGTTGCAATTTTGTGTAAATTGCTCTTTATTTCAAGCAACTGCTACCAGAATTTTACAATCGTTTGCTAATTGATCAACGCGAAGGTGGTGTTAAGGTTTTATTTCATGTGCCGGGGTATGAAAAATGCATTACTGTTGTTTATATTTTTTTATTTTTATTTTGTAAATTGTGCTTACGTGTGCAAAAGTGTTGCTCGTACGTGTCACGGTTTTAGACTTTGCGCATTTCATTTCCACATTTACATTTTGTACGTATGGCATCATCATCATAATCGTTATATTTTAAGTGTGTTGTACCCAAAGGTTGAAAGCTACATATGTACATATGTATGTATATCTCAACGTATGTGACATATGGAAAGAAGCAATTTCTATTACTTTTTTCCATCAAAAACCGAGTTTTAATCAAGACATACATACGTAGTGAGTAAGAATAATGAAAACTTGTAAGGGAATAACTTTAATAAAATGTAATTCGTTTAAGTATTTTATATGAACTATAACACGTATTAAATGGGACTTTTAATCTACGTTTCTTTCCGATTACTTATAGAAAAAACGTTAATAAAAAATGTTGGTTGCCTAAAAAAATAATTATAATTACATACATATACGAGTATATGTACATACGTGTATAATAACCCAATAATGAAATGTGATTCCTATACCTACATATGTAAAAATGCGCTTGTATTTCTTAATCGAACATCAATGTCCAATTGTTTGTTACTTCATTGCTTTTATTTCGATTTAAAAATGAACCAAGTAAACAGTTGCTCCCATTTATTACGCTATTGGTCACGTTCCTTGGTGAACCATTTGTATTCTAATTACTGGCCTTTTAACATTTTTGCAATAGCAGTTTTTATGGCTATTTTTTATGAAAATGTGCAGAAAACACTTGCATCGACAGTTTTATATTACTTCGAATACATACGATAATGAAAATACGCTTCAGATTTGTTTTCTTTAAGCTCAGTACACATTGCATATACAGATTAAAACTGATGAGTAAGGCTGCTTTTGCTTATTTATACAATACGCGATGGTCTTTGTTTAGTTTTTATTAACTGCGACATTCCATGGTTTGTCCAGCGACAGACGCGCACACACATTCATTCATTAAATACGCATATGTGTGTATAAATACAGTGAAAACTCCCTTAATGGACACTCCTTTTATCCGGACATTCTCTTCAGGGGACACTTTTTCTAAAACATTCGATCGGCGTATAAAGTATTTAAGTATCCCCTTGAGCGGACAAAAATTGGCAGACCGGGAGTGTCCGTCCAAGAGAGTTTTCACTGTATGTACTTACATAAAATATACATATGTATGTCACCGAAAAGATAAATGTATGAAAAGGAAACTAGCATAAGATTATCAAAAAATATTCGCCTTTAATATGTTTGTATTTGAACAAGAACGCAAAATCTGTTTTAATTTTTTTGAAGTCGCTAAGCATGGATCAGAAAAACGACAAAGGCTTTTCTCAGTAGTTGTCGTTATCTAGAAAGGAAGACTGGACTTGTGATATTTTCATATTTCATAATAATATCAGTGTGAAGTTCCCGAGCTTTAGAACTAAGTGTCGATTTCGTAAAAAAGGCAAACATGCCAAGATAATTTATTCTTGTTATCATGTGGTCTATGGTAGATAGCTTATATAAATAAACACGACGTTCCCACTACCCCTTTTTATGACGAGCCGAATTGATAGAGTCATGCCCGTCAGTCTGTCTGGATGAACGCCTGGATTTTGGAGGCAGTTGAGTCCACATTCACCAATTTTGGTGCAGACCCACCGGGTCTGAGATTTCAATTTTTATAGCCTGTACCCAAAGGGTGAAAGGCTATACTAGTTTTGTGCGCATGTATGTAACACACAGAAGGAGGCGTGGCAGACCCCAAAAAGTATATATATTCTTGATCAGGATGAGAAGCCGAGTCGATATAGCCTTGTCCGTCCGTCCGTCTGTCCGTATGAACGCAAGGATCTCAGAAAGTATAAGAGCTAGAATAACCAAACTTGGTTTCCATATTCTCCTAAGACCGAGAAAGTACGAGTTTGAGTTTTTTTTCGATAATTAATTCATTCATTTTTTTTTAATAATTTAATTTTTTTTTAATTTTTTTTTTTTTTTTTAATTTCTTTTTTGTGGAGAGTACAGGCTATTTTACTGTCGGGCTTGCTCGACTGTAGCGTTCTATCTTGTTTTTCATTTTAAAATTAGCTTTTAAGTATTTCTAAGCTTCTCTCTGTTAAGTTTTTCTTTTTTTTTTCGGTAGATCTATTAACGCCTCTGACCACACTTGGCTGTGAGACGGGGCACAGCTACCCGAAGGGCAAATAATATTCCTCCACCGGGTCGGAGGCGTTAATTAGATATTATTGAAATTTGATTATAAGATGCTTTTTATAATTTGTATGTACTATTTCCTATGTCGACAGTCAATGTTTTTTTGACATAAATAAATAAATAAGTCAGAGTTTATTATTTATTTGTTATTATTTGGACCCCCCCCCCCCCCCCCCCTCTCTCTCTCTCTCTACTACATTGTTTTAATTAATTTAATGTAACTTAAATCGGTTAATTTTAACAAAAATTAAAATTCTTTCGATTGTAGCGTACTCTCTTGTTCTTTATATGTATGTTTGTTGCCACTTTCAGTCTTTCTAACAATTGATGTGTATGATGTATTAAAAGGCCCCGATTACACATACGAGTATTTCCAGTACATATACTAAGTATTTATCAGGAGATTGCAACTTAGCATTGCAATATAGCGTGAAATTTCGAACAATCAACGATCCAGTAAATTGCGATGATTAAGGTTTTATTTTTATTTAAACGGACTCAAGCGATAAGGCCAAGCCTTATATGCAGGAGGAGTGTTTGCGATCGGGTTAGTTC